TGGGATTGTGTAATAAAATTTGAGGTTAGGCAGTTTCTTAGTTTTTTCTACAAAATTCCCTGTCTACCAATGAACAATAAATAAGCACACTCTGTAGCAACGTCGCAAGCGTCGCAGTACTGTACCCCATGTTGTAGACACTGACTCCAATGCACAATAAATAAGCACACGCTGTAGCAACGTAGCAAGCGTCGCAGTACTGTACCCCATGTTGTAGACACTGACTCCAATGCACAATAAATAAGCACACGCTGTAGCAACGTCGCAAGCGTCGCAGTACTGTACCCCATGTTGTAGACACTGACTCCAATGCACAATAAATAAGCACACGCTGTAGCAACGTCGCAAGCGTCGCAGTACTGTACCCCATGTTGTAGACACTGACTCCAATGCACAATAAATAAGCACACGCTGTAGCAACGTAGCAAGCGTCGCAGTACTGTACCCCATGTTGTAGACACTGACTCCAATGCACAATAAATAAGCACACTCTGTAGCAACGTAGCAAGCGTCGCAGTACTGAACCCCATGTTGTAGACACTGACTCCAATGCACAATAAATAAGCACACTCTGTAGCAACGTAGCAAGCGTCGCAGTACTGAACCCCATGTTGTAGACACTGACTCCAATGCACAATAAATAAGCACACTCTGTAGCAACGTAGCAAGCGTCGCAGTACTGAACCCCATGTTGTAGACACTGACTCCAATGCACAATAAATAAGCACACTCTGTAGCAACGTAGCAAGCGTCGCAGTACTGAACCCCATGTTGTAGACACTGACTCCAATGCACAATAAATAAGCACACTCTGTAGCAACGTAGCAAGCGTCGCAGTACTGAACCCCATGTTGTAGACACTGACTCCAATGCACAATAAATAAGCACACTCTGTAGCAACGTAGCAAGCGTCGCAGTACTGAACCCCATGTTGTAGACACTGACTCCAATGCACAATAAATAAGCACACTCTGTAGCAACGTCACAAGCGTCGCAGTACTGAACCATATATTGTAGACACTGACTCCAATGCACAATAAATAAGCACACGCTGTAGCAACGTAGCAAGCGTCGCAGTACTGAACCATATATTGTAGACACTGACTCCAATGCACAATAAATAAGCACACTCTGTAGCAACGTCGCAAACGTCACATTAATCTTTGATTCTCAGAAAAGATTTGGGAGGGGAGGATTCATGCGTTGGAGAAAGAAAGAAAGGGTGACCTTTGGCTCAGAGTGCACATCGATCTTAATAACATTAAGCTGCTGAATTGATTGCCAGGGTGCATTCCATGTACTAAGGCCCGAAGATCTTCGGCGTACACTCTGGTTTTTTTGGCGTTCCGAGTGCAAACAAATGGAAAAAATTTCTGGAATACGTGAAGCCATGGACATACTTGACACGAAAACATATGACACAAATGTTGACTCAGGCACGAAGCCAAGGGGGGGGGGGGGCGTGGGGGCATTGCCCGCCCAACTAGAATTGTTTGCCCCTTTGTAACCGTCCAAAAATTTTAGGATCAAAACATGTTTTTGACTCAACATTTAGAAATATCATGTTTTTGTCTACATGACCGTCGAAAAAGTCGGTCTCAACAAAGTCTCATCTGCGCATTTATGGTAAAAGCCAATATCGACTGCGCACCAGTCCACGCAATGCTATATTGAGCAGCCTGCATTGAATGCTTGTTTTCAGAACTAAGCGATGAAAATGCTCGCAACGAAGACGCCAAGCTGCCAGTGGCGAAGCTAACCAAGAACAGGTGGTCCTGCCCAAAAGGGGTCTGGGAGCGTAGCCCCCAGAAATACACGTGAAGCCACGCCCTAGAGACCCTCGGAAAAGGGGGAAACGACCTTCTGGATATGTTGAAATCAAGATTGCAGTGAAACATTTTTCACTGCCACATTTTGAAAGAAGGGGATGAAGATTCGGATCCTTGTCAAAAGAGCATCACAAAAATTCTTTCTAAAATAAGTAACATTTGAAAATGTTTTCATTGATTGGAAATTTTGAAATCATTGACTAAAAAGAAAATGCTTGTACTAGATAGGCATATACAGTTGTAATACATACTGGAAACATAATTGATTCAAATTATTTAAAAAAAGTAAAAATATTCTGTCACAACATGGATATGTCTGATGCACGGTAGTTAGGGTCTTGAATCAATTTGTTTTGAATATCAGAGGAGACCCCTGACATTTTGCCAGTACAATACAATCTGAGTCACCGAGTACAAAAGCTCCCAGTAATTACCATTGTTTTCCTTTTCATCCTTTTCAAAGCGTCCTTTTGATCAGGACCTCTGAATTGTATGGTAGTTCCTGTTTAAGGCAGGAGGACGAACTGCTGAAATTGAATTTAATGCACACTCCATCTCCCCTCGATCTCGACTTTCCTGGTACAAAAAACGAAGATTCTCTCTCGGCAGCGTCGGCAAACTTTTTCTAATGTTTATAATTAGGCCTTTGAATATGACTTCCTTTGCTCTCTGCAGTCTGAGAGAAAACTATATGCATGTCAGGTTTCTCGCGATGTCTGTGATATTCTTGACTTTAACAGTAAATACGACCAACAGAACGACCCTAAACAATTTGATTTCCATAAGTACCACTTGTTTTGAAACGATCGATTCTTATATAAATCAAGTGACGGCAGTGTAGGGCCGAAGCTTCTAGCAGCAAAAACTTCTTCAGCAGCAGAATCATGACGGTTACAGTTAGCTTTATCCATGATATCAAAATAGTTAAGCCTATGGCCTGAGTGAAAATTCTTTGTGACCTTTGACCACGGTGCAGGAAATCAACAAGTTATACCGAAACATAGGGCTCCAAAAGTCTAGGTCCTGCCTTCATGAAAGAGCAGGACCTGAGGTCCTGCCATTTTTGAAGGGCAGGAGTGCCATTGTTTTCTTCTATTGTGAGGCAGGACCAAAAACAGGGCTACAAGGCGTTTGCCCATTGTTGGGCAGGACCAAACATAGGGTTTAGTCCTGCCTACGAGTATTGGGCAGGACTGACCACAGGGCTAAATTTTTGACGATATCAATTTATGAACGGGATACTCGAAATTCCATTCCAGTCACCCTGTGTCTCAAAATTGAAAAAGGGCACAGCCACGAAGTAAAAGTGTAGAATAAGACAAGAAATGCCTTTGAATCAGGCATATAATGATTTCATAAAATGAATAAATTTTTAATATTTTAAAAATTGTTATCTTTGGAAATTTGTGTTCCTGCCCAGAGGACAAGCAGGACCTTTGGCTTCGCCACTGCAAGCTGCAAAACGAGGCCTTTTTTAGCATAGTTACTAGGGGGCAATTGCCACTGTAGCCCAAGTGGCTTTTTATCGTTTATATAAACACAGGTTTGCCCCGCAGCTAATTTCTCTTAGAAAAAGGCTATGTTCATTTTGAACGATGATGGGACAAAGTCTTTCGTTTATGGTTCAGCCAAAGTTTGGAACGATCTAGACACAGAAACCAAATTGGCACCCTCTTTCCACTGCTTCAAATCTAGATTGGGCACATACGATGATCTCTAACGTGAACTAAAACCGTTCTTATCTTCCTTTTATTTACTTTAGGTTGTAATAATTTATTAAGCTTATCAAATACATATTAAAAAATTCATCTTAAAATAAGTTCATATAGGTTTCTTCACAGGACCAGTTGTGAAGCAGATAGTAATGTATGCATTGTAACCCTGCATAAATGTGCATAAATTACAAAAATAGAACAAGTAGATGAAATGTAACAGGCAGCTTTCAAGGTCTCAGGGGCACTTTTAAACGTACTCAGCATTAGCATTCGGTGATGTATCTGGTTCAATACAAGACACATTTTCAGAGAACATATTGTTTACTTCACTAAAACATTTTTTCAGCACAGGTTGAAAACATGAACACCATTAAAAGAACTGCATCAATTGCTGGATTGAATAGATGATTGGAAAAAAGTGTTCTGAGTTTGATACCACGGATTTTCAAATCTCAAGGGCAGAACACACGGCTTCAGATTAAATTCAGTTGAGAAAACAGACGCCATTTTTAAGTGAGAACGCATAGAGAATGGACAGTTTGATTGTTTGCATTCTCTGGTCCATTCCTTTTAAGGCAAACCATGGAGGTCACAATTGTCCCTTGAGGTGGTATCGGCATCAATAAAAGAGCAGATGTTTTCTGGCGACAACACTGCATCTGCTGCCGACTTTGGAGAAGTCTTGATAATTTTGAAGGTAAGAAACTCGTCTCTTTTGCTTGAAACGCTCTTTTGTTCTGATGGCTTGCCAAACTCAGATGTATTCAGCTTTACCATGCTGTCGCATTTTGTTGCTTTTCGGGTCTTGAGAGCATCTTCGCGCTTTAAGCAGTTATACTTTTCATTGATTTAGGTAACAAAATGGCAAGAACGAAACAAACTGCTCGAAAGTCAACAGGAGGAAAGGCCCCACGGAAGCAGTTAGCTACAAAGGCTGCTCGAAAGAGTGCTCCAGCGACAGGAGGTGTGAAAAAGCCACACAGATATCGACCTGGCACTGTGGCTCTTCGTGAAATTCGACGTTACCAGAAATCAACAGAGCTATTAATAAGAAAACTGCCATTTCAGAGACTGATTCGTGAAATAGCACAAGATTTCAAGACAGATTTACGATTCCAAAGTTCCGCAGTAATGGCACTTCAAGAAGCATCTGAGGCGTATCTTGTCGGCCTTTTCGAAGACACAAACTTGTGTGCAATCCATGCAAAGCGTGTCACTATTATGCCTAAAGACATTCAACTCGCACGACGTATACGAGGAGAAAGATCGTAACAACTACCCAAGGAACAATTTGTAAGTCGCTTACAGCAGTCAGGAGACTAGGTGTAAATATCTATTTGATAAATTGTGCATGTAAAAACAAATTAGGATAGGGGCAAAGTACGTCGCTGTTTATAAAATAAAAGATTTATTTTGGAAGTAATTGGACATAAGTATGTAAATATCAAACTATTATTATGTATTGCAGGTAAATTTTGTTTTCATAAGACATTAGCGAAACATGGTGCTGTGTTGCTTTTATCATTTGTTGTTTTCTTTAAAACTAAAACCTTGAGAAACTTCTTGAAGACCTTATATCTTTAGTTTGTTTTGTGATCATCAGAATAATTGGAACCATTGCTTAGGATCAATTTTGAAGTCCGACAGTGGTAAATTGAATAACAATAATAAAAAGTGCCAATCAGTGGTAAGGTTTAATTGAATAACAATAATAAAAATAATATACGCTCGTGATTAGGTTCTGAAACTGTGTTTAGAATTCACGAAATTTGGGGTTAAACTGTCAACTGAAAACCGATAGCAAGAAACAATTATCGAAGATACCAGCAGTTAACAAACGATTTTATTTTTCAAATTATGAAATCCTGTTTCAGACATATTTATATGTGAAAAAGGTTGTATCAATTTTTTATTAATCTCAGATACAGAGTCTCTCTAAACGCTAATGAGAACAGTCCTGCTACCTATGGAATAGATCATTGGTCTTATATTTCATATTTGTCTTATATTTTGAACTACTTTAATAAATAGCTTTGGTCATTCTGGACATGGAGCTAAAATTATAAATGTAATTCTTAAACAGAAAATCATGTTTATCAAAAAGTCCTTGCCTCATAAACTTGTGCATATTTATCTTATCAGAAGGCAGAAAAATCAGATTCAGGCATTTTTTAAATCCTGAGATCAGTGTTCATCTTATTTCACCCAATTTGTACCGCTATCTATCCGTTTATCGTGTTGACTTGTTGGGGTGTAAGTTTTTGACAAATTGTTCACATTTATTGAAAATTATTGTAAGTATGTAGGTCAAAGCAACGAAAAGGCACAAATTAATGAAACAATTTATTGGAGATTCAGCCAACATCCAACCACTTAGCTCCGAAGATCAGATTTGTACATGATGATTGAATGAAATTTAATCAGAGTTGTTTCATGAGGGGCTTTCAAAAGTTTTGACCGTTAACTAATTCGCTTGCGATTGCTGTTGTTTGCTTCTCGTAATGGTCTCTTGTGCCACGCTTCCTCGCGCTTTTCTTGTATCCGCTCTACTAGTTTATTGGCAATGAGAGGAGTCTTTCGTCTCCTGAGGATTTGATTTGTTATACTAGGGTAAGATGTGTGGTTCGTGGCGTTTTCATTCCCTTGGTTAATCTATGGGTACTTAAGGTTTTGTCATAGCGTGGGTCTCAGCTTGCGCGGTGAAGCCTCAATACAAGCTTGCTGTTTATTTTCCAACCCTCCCTCCCTCAATGTTCATTTATGGGCAAATTTTTTTTCGGTATAGATTTGGGTTTTGAGTTTCTTTTATGGCATCGTTAAAACCTCTCATACCTTTAGGCATCTTTTAAGCTGATAAACGTTCTTTAATGCCATTAGGTAGGAATTGTGCATCGGCTTTTTGTGGGGAAAGAGGCTTTTCTTGTCCATAAGTTATCAATGAAATTTAGGGATTATTTTTGTAACTTTCCTTAGAAATCCCTTCCTTTAGAGGTTAATGGTAGATTGAGCGATTTGCACCGATACAACAACGGCTCAACTAGCTCTCGTGAGATGATGTTGGGAGGTAGCCTCATAACTGGCCTTCGGATGTCTATTTCATATTTTCTTGATGGAGCTTATTGCAATTCATTTTGTATTGGTAGTTTATTCCCGAGTTAGAAAATTAAACTAAAATAAAATTCAAAATTATTGGCATATTTCAAAATTTTGATTGAGGAATCATAATTGATTCCATTTTTTTTATTTCTATGATTTACACCAATAAAATTGATGGTCTGAGACTTTCTGCTGAACTGGATGTGCAATTCTATTATAGCGCTATTCGATACAACTACACATCAGCTGCAAGCTGCCGGTATCCTACCTGCTCATCAATAAACTAGAACTGTCTGCAGTAGCATGTTGTTGCTTCGGTGCCATTATTACATAGCTATCTTTATTTTCATCTCGTTTACCGTGTTTGAAGTTCCAGGCAGCATAGGTTGAAGTAAATCAACACGACACAAATTCATTTCGTGTCTAACCTATGAAATTCTCCAAAATACAAGCGTGTAAAACACTACTTAACATCTTTTGTGATGCAATTTGGAAATCAAAATTTGTTCGAACTTTCTATGAACAATAGCAGAACTTCCAAAACCACATTTTGTAAGAGAAAAACCGGTGACAAGTAAAGGTCGATCTTTATAAGAAATTGATATCTAATAAATATACAGCATAAAGGTTCTTATTGCCTTCAATTAACTTTCAATTAACTTAACTATATATAAACACAATTTACAATGTTTATTCAAAACGTTCATTAATGTTCAAAAAGTGTGGTTATTTGGCAATCTCCTTCAAATAAATGACTTCATCGTTTTTAGTACAATGATTAAAGATGCAGCTGAACTCACAAGAATCGTGGTTATGACAACAGTCATTGTGCAACCCAAATTGCCGGTTGGTAAGATAAAAGACCTGCCACCTCCATCCTAAAAAATAAAGATTGCTAGCCATTCTAAAAGCAAAAAGCTGGAATGACAGAGGCATAAATATTTCTAAATATAAGGTGTTATGACGCAAACATACGTCAATACTTCTTAATGTTCTATAACCAAACAAAAAAGTGCTTATATAAAAGATAAATTAAAAAAATGGATCTAATATAGAAAATACTTACCAATGAAAACTTGCCTAAGAATTCCCACTCGCAAAAGCTTTTAGAAGTGTCATAACATCGGTCCCTGGTGGTTATGGCTAAACGAAATAATAATAATAAACAACTTATGTAAGTCTAAAAACCATTTCTGATATCAACATGATTATGGAATGCTGATTTTTGAAGGAACTGAGTCAATGTGGTGAGGCAGTATTCAAAGATGATTAAAGTTTTTCTTTGATACTGCTTCTTGAGTGAACAGAAAAATTGAATTTGAAAATAGAGAGTGAGCAAATAAAAAAAACAACAAGTATATGGCAGTTAATAGGTTGATGTATGGTATCAATTGCCTCTAGCGAAACCAAAGAAACATTATTTACTAAATTTGTTTCAACCTGTGTTTGCCATTTTACATTAAACAAAAAGAGAGATTAAATATCAGACTCTCGGCGAAAATTTGATTAAATTTTTCAGATGCTACCATGTACTGACTTGCTTCTAGCTCATAAAACTGCTGAAATTTCTATTATTTATTTTATTCATCTAATATGTGAATAAATGCAAACTGTAATGATATATCGATCTAACATGATAGGCATAACCACAGATGTTTAGCTATGACAAATCTTTGAAATCAGAACATTTTTAGTAATGATATAGGATATATTTAAAGGAATCCTTACATTTTGAATCTTTTTTGGTGACTCTTCTGTACAGAGACCCAGCCTCAAGCGACAGGGTTACTTGCCCACCTTTTTCAGATGGCATTAGGTACCTCAGATGTACTGGCATAGAAATAGTAAAGTTTGATGACATGCTGTAAATTAACAGGGCAAAGAAGTTAGTTAGTCCTGAAAAAAATTCATCATGGGCTCTAGGATGCTTCTCGTTGATCTAATGCTGAAATGGCCATGTGAAAAACAAAGAAAAACAAAGGAATTTTCAGACAAAAACTTTAGATAGAAGGTAAAGAAAGTAATTCAGTTTTTTATTCAAAACAGGGTAATATCTAACAAGGTATGAATTCATAATTTCGGTTGCACAAAATTAGAAAATGTTTGATTATAACCTGTTCTTAAAATATGTTGTCTGCATACCTATCATACCTTTTTTTATTTGGGTAAATTGTTACAATATGATTATCACTTTCATAAGTTGGCTTCTCTGTGTTGAAATGGTAGTCTGCAAGTACCTAAAAATTAGAAATTAAAAAAATGGATTAAGCTGATGAAAGGTTAAACATGTGATGCTTTGCAAAAATGGAATCAGTGCTTTTATTGAAACAGCAAAACAACTGAGTGCTTAATAATCAGAAATAAACAGAGAAGACAGATCTTAAGCTGATTTAAAACTGTGAATGTTAAAACTATCAGTTTCACAGCATAGTTACCCCTAAATTTTGTGATTAGGATTTAGAACAAACTGACATTAGATTCAAGTTCAGAATTTTTTAAGAATAAGTGGTGTTCAACAACGGCTGTATAACAAAAATATTTTGATGCAAGCAGATTGTAGCCACCTACAAATTAAACCTAAATAGTTGAGTTGAATGAATCTGGTATATGATTCACAAGACTGTTTCATCAAAATATACATTTGCAAACTATCATAATAACTATCATAATCATCATTGTCAATGTCATCCTGAAAAGAATGTTTAAACCAATTTTGAATACTTTTCAGTCACATGCAAAAACACACCTACAGGAAATAAAACAAAACTGTTATCTAAACCTGCTTTAACAAATGTATTTTCAATACCAAAGTAATTTGTAGATAGCTTTACTGAGTTACTAACCATTGACCCACTATATACCATCAAGTTTTTTATTTCATCCATATCTATGTACATATGAGCTGGAATTCTCTGTTTGATCATAAATGTGCAGCTTTTGTTTTCAGCATTTTGTACTACCCAATGATACCAGATGTTCCTATTGAAATAAATGGAGAAATGTTGTAACCAACTAGAAATTTGTACTGCTTAGTAGCATGTATTGACTTTCCTGCTAGATTGATATCTCAGTGTCCACCTGAGTTTCTAGGTTCCTGTTTTTATACTGTCTGGTTTGCTGCTCAAATTTTTATCATTTTTTGACCTGTGAACACTCTTGATAGTTTCATCTCTTTGGCACATGAAATGGCCTTTTGTCATGGTATAGATGTGATAGTTTTAAGATAATCAAATTTTTGTGGAGAAATGTTTTTCTTTAGACAATGAATACTTCCACTAAATACTATAAATTTGAGGCAGGCGATCCCCCACACGCGCCTCCACGCTTGCCTCAGGTAAGCAAGGCGAGCTATTCATCGCTCGCCTCAATGTCAGTTCACACGTTAACCGCCCGCCTTGGTCTTCCTTACATTTCTCTACACCTCTTGAAGTAAAGCATAAATATTGATAGGAACTTGATCCCCTAGTATGTTTTGACTTAGAAATAACGTTTTAATCTTTCAGGAAGTCATCTACTCCTGTAAACTCATTAACTACTTAACAAGTCATGCAAAAAACAAACAAAGCATTTTAAATGCAATAGGGAAGAAAATTCTTTGAATGGTTTCATTTCAACCAGAATGCTATTTCAAAGGCCAATTGAATATTCCAATTATGCGAAACCCGAATCATTTCAACATGGCGAGTAACCAGAAAGGATTGACTGCTGAGCTAAGAACTTTCTAAGACAATGGGGCTGTTCTTGGAAGAAAAATTGAGAAGATAGATGGAAAGAAGATGGTGACGTTCGGTTGGTGCAAACTTTGCGCTAAACATAAAGCTTCTATTCTCTTGAACCCGCTTTGCAAAGGCAGTGCAAAGGCGGCTGTTGAAGCCTACATCAATGAATGTTGTTGATTTGCAATTATATGAAACTATCGTTTTATTTTTGTCGGGGAATCGTCATCTTGTTTTGTAAACTCAGCTGTTAAAGAATGTTGTTTATTCATATACTTTTATTGACGATTTTCAAGAGACTAAAAATCGTCCACCTGACTTTACCGAGGAGAGCGATGTACCATGCGCCTGCTAAAATGCTCACGGGCCAGGCCTGATGGTGTGGATCCCCCATGGGACACCCTCTATATAACAAAAACTTAAAATTTTCACTGATATATTGGCAGATGCATTTTAGATTCAAAATCCTTGGTTGCAAACTCCACCCAGTCTCCCTAAAAGCATGTAATTTTCACTCTTTTTTAACTATTATTGGTGACTTTTAATTGAGTAAAAAAATCTGTAAAATCATACCTATGGAATCCATTTCCAGCAAGATCCTGAAAAGACTCTGTAAGCTCTGGAGATCTTTTATTATCTGAAATTCAAAGAATTCTGAGTTAATATCATACTTTTTCTAGTAAGCTTGTGCATTAGTATCAAAACAGCAACTGACTTGCACCAACCTGAATTCATCCACATCCCTTCTGCATACCTCTGCAAAAAGTTCTGGGAGGAGGGGGCAGTCAGTTTTGTTATGTATTTAATCTAAAGCCCCCTTCCCAATTTTGTGCAACAAAAGGTCTTTTTTGCAAAACCTTTGTTATGTATTTAATCTAAAGCAATCACTTTGCTATTGTTGCCACTTTCCAACTTGCATTGGAGCCTCAGTGAAGCAAGTGTTGCTCAAGTTAAAAAATATTCAAAATAAATTAACCACAAATTTACCTTGGTTAATCTTATCATTCTTATCATAAATGCAAATTTGATCTTTGTTGCAGCAAGATATCATTTTAGGATATTCTAATTTTTTTCTTCCAAAAGGACTATCATACCTCGCACCCCTATTATAAGGGTATTGCCTATAGGTATTTTCGGTGCTTTCTGATTTTTTATTTTAACAGTTGGGATTTCCATTTATCAAAAATGTGTCATTGCTGTGAATAAGATATTAACTTCCTGTAAAAAAGCTTGAAAGTAACAACTCTAGGGAAAGGGTCTAAAATGTACATGTTCAGGATGGTGGAGGTGGGTACAGGCTTGCTGCAGCATGGGTGGATACAGGGTGTTGCACAGGTCGCACATAAGACTTTCAGAATTGAGATTTCATCTTCAGTCATTAAAATTAGGCAATTATTTTTACCATGATCTTTTATTTTCCTCCTTACAGTTAATACATTTAACTCTCTTTACCCAATAAATACGAACTGACCTTGGTCTATCTAACACCCATGCTAAGATTTTATTCAAAATATAAGAAATTCAAAGATCATCCCAGACTGTGAGCAGGATTGTTTTTAAAGCATGTTGCTCATGCCGCACAAATATGCAGTGCTTTTGTTATGCAAATATTTTACCAAATCTTACCAATAAAGATTCAAGTCTGAAAAGTCTGTAAATAGTTACGTGGTACAAAAAGTCTGTAAAGACTATGCTAGATTACTGTGCTGCACAACTGCTGGTATGGGAAGAAAGTTGACTAGGTTAGAAGTTGTAAAGGCGAATATTTCCAATTTCCTTTATCAATACTGAGGAGGTGCACTGGAGGTGTAAACTTTTGGATCTCAAGAAATTTTCAACTGCATGTTGGATTTGCTGGAGAATTGAGAAAACCTCATTTAAGGGCAGAAATTTATGATGAAAAGGACAATTTGAATGCAGAAAATTGACTTGATTTGTTGTTGCCGAAAACTGGTAAATCTTTACTTTCTAATTTCTACAAGAGCCGTCCTTGCTATTTTGATAGCAATATACCACTGGTGTATCAGTGTTGCTTAGCAGGACAAATTGCATATTTTCAAACATAAACGCTCACAAGGCATGAAATAACATTTCAGACCAGAAATCAAGATGACTTTCTTGAGCAAGGTGATTTTTTATTCATTTTTGGTGGATGAAATAATCAACATGGTAAACATAAGGGTATTGCCTTTAAAATCAGATCTAGTTGCTCTGGTTCCCGGGAACTGGGCCCCCATTATGTCACCGCCCTTGACCATGAGGGAGGCCCCATAAACCCTTTGTTGAGTAGTTTTAATGTGCAATTGCCAACTTTTATTCTGTGTCGTCCCTGTGCTACAGCTGGCTTCATGTTTGATGCAGTGCAGACTAGGTACAGGTGGGTTTGCTGGGTGTGAATGAATTTTGATTGATTGCTGTTTCAGTAATAGCAAAGCATGGGCACCTTCACTGACAGCTCAGAAAAAATGTTCCTTGCAGCTATGCAAAAGGGTTTTGCTTTTCCAAGTGGGAAAAATTATGGCTGCTTGCAAAGTGAAAATAACATCTCTATTTTAATTTGTTTTACACCAAATCTATGATATTCAGCAAATGCAGTCAAACAGCCTGCAGATAAGACCATCTCTTGCAAAATAAAGGAGGTACTGAAAATTGATTTTATAGGATAGTTTAAAAAAATACAAAAGGGACAGAGAAGAGCTAGATGAAAACAATGAGAGTAAAGAATTAGTGTAATGTTTAAAAAAAGTGCTGGTCCAGCGAAAGTTGTTTGTAAAATATTGCAAATTCAACCTTCACTTACTTCAGTTAGAAAAAATAGTAGCTCTTTCGTGAAATTGAAGAATTAGGAGTTTTCACTGGAGCATATGTATTCGTTATAAAACTTAAAAGGCTGTGATGAATTAAAACAGTCTATTTGGCCATTTGATCTCCTATCAAATCACTCCCTTTTTCTGTCTGTCTGTTTTTAGTTGTTTGGATTGTTGATGGTTCATCGCATCGCAGCATGGATGCGCAGCTCGTGTTAACTCATAACAGAAACTGCAAAATACATGGAAAAACTACTTAAACTACTCTGATGCATACCCTACCTTTTATGGCTACTGAAGATGCTTTTAAATGCAGTTTAATACATAAATAAAAAAACAAAGAGACGTATGAACTGCAAGCAACTTCCATGTTTTGCAGCCTCGAGCCTGATTGGCAGCTATATTTACCTCGCCTCGCTTTCAAACACCAGGTTTGTTGTTGCACAACATGGAGAAATAACCGGGAGAAAGGAGAGGACTGACCAGTGACCACGAGACAAGAAGGTGGATAACATTCCATGTTCTTTGGTTAAACTTGTTATGCTGATAATAAAGGGTATGTTGCTTGTGATATCTGTTTCCTTGGCCTGTAAGATGCTAGTTAATACGAGAGAGATAAAAAAGACAAGATTCTACTTTAATGTGCGAGGGACAAATTCCAATTATTTCCCGCTATTATCAGAATTCAGTTCAGACAAAAATAGCTAGCTAGCGTCAGTAATAGATTTCTATCTTCTTCGTAAGCTTTGTCATTTCTTTTATTATTTTGACCACATAAAATACAAATCCTGTCACGTGGATACAATCCAGTTGATATCATTTTTGTATATGTGAAGTTGAGAGGATCATAATTGTGGACATGTGTCCTCTACTAGATTACACATCTTTAACTCCACCAATCAATTCCTAGGGTGTATAACAGTGCCGACGCCTGTAACTTAAATTAAGCTAAAAATGTTAATGCATAAAACATGGATAAACTATTTATACAAAATCAAGTGCTAACTATTCATTAAGTTCTTCTGGGGTGCCTCAGAGGCGGATCCAGACTACAAGCAACCTATGCAGAAGCATAAGTCAGATCTTTAGAACAAAAAATAAAATGGAAACTATCAAAATTTTTAATCAGTAATTTCTTCGGCAAATTCTTTATCAACGTCCGTCCTAGTTCTGCCCCTGTTGATACCAACAACATGCAGAAGACAGGACAGGCTTTCCTGGGAAAAATATGGCAGGCGTGCTAACCACCGCACGCCTGAAAACATCCAGGTGTGTAGTAGCATGTGACATTTTTTCGCAAAAGTTTATGGTTATCTTAATAGATCTATGCAGAAATTGCCAACAGAACAATGATGACACCAATAATTTTGATGAAATTTATTTCGCTGAATCGTTAGTATCACTACTAACATTTTAACACAAAAACATGTTATTTCTAAAGACTTGAGCCAGTTTCTACATAGTTTTCATCAGCTTCGATAATATACCCTTAGCAGAGTCATTTGGGGCTTGGCGCTCATCTGGTTGTATTGACCATTTTTGCGTGTAAATCTGTGCCCTGAGGGCCCTTGGTTATCAAGCATCACAGCTATTTTATGTACTCACTGGCCAGATGTCGATAATCCATAAAGATAATGCATAAAAGATAATGATGGGCCATTAATTTAAATGTTGTCAAAATCTAGATTTAAAGCAAAGCGAAGTCTGTAGAGGGGGCTGTATATGGGTAGCAAAATCCGCAAATCTGCTACTTTTTCTCGCATAATTGGCAAGTCTGTTACTTTTGCCAAATTGGCAATCAAAAATTAAAATCTTGTTAACAGCACTTAATGTTCCTTATAAAATTCAGAGACAAAAATGTCTGTTATAGTCTTTTGTGTTTTGTGATTTATTCACTAAAATGCCATAAAGCCTTGTAAAGGTGTTAACTTTTGCACAAATCTCTTTTCCATTTTTTGCATCATAAAAAGTGCATGTTGTCCAATGTCTGTTTTACCGATGAAAATAATAATATTTTAATGTTATAGCTGGGTTTTATATAATCGGGATTCTACTGTAGTCCTATGATTATTTTAAAATTTTCTTTTTAATTCGCAATCAGGCCTTTTTTCGTGAGAAATAGCCCACACAAGTGGCCCTTCTCTCGTATGATTTCTCTTGTGCAAGCGATCGCTCTGATACTGAACAAATTGATCCTGTTATAAGGTACCCTTTGTTTGAGGTAACACCAAATGAAAAAGGACTGCTACGATGACCTTTAATGCACTCCAGGGAAAGACTAAACCCCCTTTATAAGTGTGCTTCGTTTATAAACTTTATGTACATCACGAAGGTCATAAAGACGTTCTTGACAGATGATCGCAAAATGTTGTTCCATACTTTTTTAAAAAAGCCTTTACTGGCCAGAAAATGTCTTAAGTGCTATTGTGGTTAAAATACCAAGTACCCAAAGTATTCCTAAACATTCACGGTGGAATTGATTTTCAAATGCATTTTTTCGTTGAGATGTGGTTAAGTCAGCTTACTTATATTTCCTGTGTTTTGATATACCAGCTTAGTATTGTCTATGTTACTTGCTTGGTTCACAAAAGATACAATTAACCATTTTGCACGAGCGATCAAACACTCGCATTTGGGTTTGTGCGAGTGCTGACGCGATTGCGAGTGCCTGACAAGGTGTTATGCCTTTTTGAAATGGCATGAAGTAATAGTACCAAGGAAAGATTTACATTAAAACCTGTCTCAAAAACCAATAAAACCAATCATTGATAGAGAATTTTGCTCTCAGAATGAAAGAAGGCGTGTGATATTTTGCACTCCTCAAAAGTAGTAGGCGTGCGCCAGGGCATTGCCAGGGCATGCGCCAGGGCGTGCGCGTGCGATTGCACACCTTTCCCACAAAAGTCTGCAGGACATATATTCTGTTGACTCTCTTTCTGCCTCTGCCCAGAAAAGTCGAGTGGGAATTCTAGGCATTTATCTGGTCTGTATTTTCTGAATCCAGAAATTTGTTTGTCCCTCGAGAGCCAATAACCATTTGTTTGACCTATGCAAATGTCTTGTATGCCAACCAGAGTGTCCTTCACCTCTGCAATTTTTAGCGAGAGCATGGGTGAGATTTGGTTTATCAAATCAGAAGTTGAGATTGCCTCTGCAGTGGTACAGCCAAACAATAGGAATCAAAGTTGACCTTTGCAATTGTTTACAGTGGACCTATGCAATTGTTTGTTGCAACCAATAAAATGGAAATTGACAATCACTGTTTCACTCCTGCTAAACAACTAGCTAAGTCAGTCAGCAAGCCTTGCAGTGTCTGTTCTGTAGTGTTGTGGTATGACCACTGCTTTTGGGATGTAGATGACCCTGGTTCGAATCTTCCCTGGATCAGGCAGCTCAGAGGCTTTTTCCTTAGAGTTCCTTAGAGTTTTGTCTTCTCTTTGCAAGTCGTTTCCTTAGAATTCCTTTTTGGAGCCCCCTATTCAATATTAGTGATAATGCTTTTATTCAGAAAAAATTTGTTGTTTCCAACTGAAAAGGGCTTGGCTCCTCTCTCTGACAACTTTTGCATAAGTCAGAATTCAGGCTGGATATGCGCTTGCTCCCGCCAAAGTTTGAAATGATAGGATGGAAACTCTACAAATGATAGCAAAAATCACTTTACTTTATGAGTGATATCAAAAGCATTTTACCATGCTTATCAGGGACGCTTGCCATCATTGCCAACTTTGCTCAAGACAAGTTTACAAACCTTTATGATAGTTTGTCATCATTATCTTTAGTGCCATAATTTTGATAACATACTTCAGCAAAGAAGTGATGGTGCTACAGCCCCTCCCTCCCCAGGTGTAATAGGATTGGAACCTGAATACTAATTTATGCTAATGCTTATGATATTCTTCCTGTTTGTATATGTTGTAATCGCTGTAAAGAATGAGTAGTCAGTTTATATTCTCTATATGAGTTGCACGCCATGTCTTGCTGTTGCTCTCTAACTACATAAAACTCTATTACACTGGCTCTGGCATACCTGCTTATCTCAAAGATATCCCTCACCATCCATATTCACTCATTTTCCTCTAAATGTTACCTTGTGCTCTTTTTCCACATAAAATTTTTAATAAGCCTCCCCAGTGCTTAATCAGATTATTATGGTAGTTAAAAAAAACCTTAAAGTAGCTTCTAAATTAAAGAGAAAAGCAGAATTAGGGCCACACTTTAGTTGTTTCCACGTTGTATGTCAGCACAAATTAACACATAGCAAGTCACTATTGTTAAAAAATAGTCAGTATTGTTGTACTGTAGTAGTATTTCTTAACATCACCTTTTTTGTAATTACCTTTGGATTTTTGCTGAAAATAGTATTTTGAAGTTGTAAATCGAAGTTTAATGGAAATGATACTATCCGATGTGCATCACTCTGAAGCTTCACAAGCAAATTTTTGAGTTTGTGCTTCAGTGAAGAAATGTTAAAAGAAAAGAGAAGGGTGCCTCTTCGTTTTTAAAATAAAGATATGTAGGAACTCACAAATTGAAAAAGCATTACCAAAAAAATTAAAAGACAAATTTTCGAAAAAGATTAATCTTTGAAAGAATCAACAAAATAAATCAGCTCTGCATACCAGGGTGAAAAATCAAATGTTTAACCAACTCTTCCTAACATATTGATAACAGCAGCCCCATTTGATAAAGCTTAGCCAATGGTGCTGCACATGGGTAGCTAACTTGCATAGTGTAAATAGAGTATATGATATCAATTTCTTCTGTTTATAGACAAAAGCTTGATATCAATTCTGAAGTGGATCAGACTTGTCAACTGACAATGGATGGTGACCATGAAGCTGAAGAAAGTGAAAAAGTTAGAAGCTATGGTATTGAAATAGACCGTCAGAAGATCAAGAGGATTCCTGAAAATGAGCAAAGTACTGCCTTGAAAGACTTGGGTGTTAGCATTTATGAGCAAGAAGAATTTGAAGAGAGTGTGCTTCAGCAAGTTGATGATGCCATTGAAGAACAGAAAAGAAGGATTTCAATCAAAGCAGCAGAAAAGAATCTACAAAATATAAAAGATGATATCAAGTGAGTTGTTTTTTATCTTTATGTTTAACAGGTGTAACTTGCAACTGCTCTCATTTATTGTGGATAAATTTAAGAATGCATTCTCTAAAATGTTTGTTATAAGTATATTCTTGTGATCCATGTTGTAGATCAGCTGAAGCAGAGATAGAGAAAGTAGAAAAAGCAATATCTGCATGTCAAGGTGCTGCCTCTAATGACTATCATGTTAAAAGGAGTTTGGCCTCTTTAAACAGCCATAAAGAAACGAAGGTGAGCAATTGTGAAACATGTTTCTTTTCTGCAATACTGTTATTATTGTTTTAATTGGTAATGTAATTTAATGTAATTTTTAAAGGCTACTAGAAAATGGAGAAAGTTTCAGCATTTTGGATGATCAGAGACTTAAGAAAACATTTTATGCAGCATCCGTTTTCAGTTGCTTTGCAACATAAAGACTATGCAAACTTCCAGATAATGTTGAATTTTTTATGTTAAAGGCCCCTATTATATTACAATATTGGATTGAAATTAATTCATCTATGCTTCAAAAATTTATTTTTCCAGGTAAAGCAGCTTGAGAGGCTTCGTGCCAGAGAAAAATATGCTTGCAAAGACCTTGACGAGCTTATTTCAAAGATCAATGAGAATAAAGGTATGGAAATGAAATTAAAATGCTTGATTTTTGTGCCCCTTTGATATCATTACTGTGGCAAATATTTTCCTCCATTGCGACATATAAGGTTTTTGACATGATGAAGTTATCCAGGTTTAAGTTTACTTGCCTTTTAGTTGATGGTTCTGTTAAAGAGCACAGAAATTTTGATTTGGAAGAATTTGGAATGGTCGACTTCGAAGGTACGAAAGAGTTACATACAGAATTTCACGTGAACAAACCTTCGACCTCTAAACAGAGTCAAGAGGAAAGTTTTGAGCAAGATGATTTTGTTAATAAATATGACAGAATCAAACGAAGAAAAAGGCAGCTAGATATTCGAAATGAGTTCAGCGATAGTTATTCATCATCAGAAGAGTATATCCCATACCCAGACGAAGTAAGTGACGATCTAACAAGTGAAGAAGATGAAGAAGATAATAATCTAAGATCCAAAGCCACCTACGTCCCTAAAAAGAAACAAAAACAAGAAATAGGAATGCACCACCAGGCAATGAAAGCAAAGCTTAAATCTAAAAAGTCTAAAACACCAAAGAAAGTTGTTGACGATGGAAATATAATTGCATACCAACAACGAATTAAAGAACTGAGGCTGAAAAACCGTCTTAAAAAGACGGGTAGTCTCGATACAGTTGCAGATTCTGATTTAAGTGAAGACGAAGAAAACGATGACAAAGAGATCGCATTAAAAGGAGGATTCAGTCTCCCTGTTAAGTTATGGAGGAAACTTTACAAGTAAGTCAGAGAACATCGTTTTTATGTATATAATACTTAATTTGCGTAAGGAAGAAAAAGAAGATAGTTCGTTAGGACCTGTTTTGTAAACACCAGAATGTCACAGAGCAGTGCCAGATATGATTATTCATATGAAAAGGTACTCAGCATCAGTTACAGTACAACCTGGAGCTATCCAATGCATATTAAAATTCAAAAGGTTAGAAGGAAAACTGTTTATTTCTGGACTGTTTATTACTGTTTGTTACATATAAATTAAAATGCATTGCATCAGAGAAATGATGCATTTTATTTATAATCTTTATTAAAATGTTTATGGAGCGCATGATTTTACTAAGCTTAAATTTAAAATTAGAGCATTGCAGGAATGCAGTTTTTTTCTGTTAACCGAAGCTAAGAAAGCTTTTTTATGGTTAAAACTTCTGGTATTCAAGCCAAATACATTATGATGGACCAAGCTGGGTAGACAGTTGTCACAGTCTGAAAGATGCAGAAGCCTGAACTAAACCTCCAATTTTCCAGCTAATGATTGCGGGGGTCGCCTAATTGATTTATTACCCTTGGGTTGCTATAATGTTTATTTTCCAGTTTTTCTGTCTTCTTGAGAAGAAAGGGCAATAAGTAAAAGTTTCCACAAATGTAGCAAAATCGAAAGAATCACATATGCTAGCTATTTCGAATCATATTCCTCTCCCCTCATTCCCAGAAATGTTACTGTATTTGTGGCTGGACTATATTATCCATTTTGGCGATCTTATATACGTGAATACACGGATGCTTTTATAGCTGAATTTTTCTTGCAAGCTTTTACAGGTATCTTTTTCGTCCAAGGTATCAACGGACTGGTGTTAAGTGGCTTTGGGAGCTTCACTGTCAGGATGTTGGAGGCATATTAGGGGACGAAATGGGGCTGGGAAAAACCATCCAAATTATCGCATTTTTAACTGGCCTTAGGAATTTGCTGCATAAAGATAACAGGTAGGCCTAGCTATCTTTGCATTTAGTTTTCGTTATTGTTAACATGAAATTGAAAAGCTTTTCGTAAATCAGCAAAATTATATGTTGTTTATGTCATTTAGAAATATGTAAAGTTATAGGCATCAGAGTGCACAAAGCAAAATTTGCATTCATGAGTGGTAGCAATGTTGTTAAATTTGCTTTCCTTGATGAAAGTCATAAACAGTCACTGGAAAATTTATTGATAAATTTTCTGAAAGACAGAAAAATATTCCTGAGGTTCTTGCTAGTTTCCACCAAATCCTTGCTGAAATCTTTTGGTGCTTGACCCTTCCTTTGACATTTCGATACGAAACGTTATATAAAAATTCGTTTATTTTTCCTAGTAAAATTTTACTTAGATTCCAAGTTTTATTCTATTTCATTGTACATCAAGAAATTTAGTATATCTAACATCAACTTCATAATCTGTTTCAACACAATCAGCCGTCACAGACAGCAAGTGATTTTCCATAGAGTCACGTGATCCGTCGAACTGTTTCGATTTGACGTCATATGTGTTAAGAATCCTATAAATCGAGCGCCTCTGTGTTCTGAGCTAAGTTCAAGGTTCGAACGCTTTATGGCAGCACTGTTACTTTATATCAACGAGTTCATATTTCGTTCGATTTTGTGCATACATGGTGCATGATGTCTTCATATAATTCGCAAGAAACCATTGTGAAAAGCTCTATAAGAAGATATGAAAATGATTTGGCAGAAATGGAATTGGAATTGTCCAGCGTGGAACGTATCAATCTTGTTTTAACCAAGTAAGTAATACACGATGTATTCATCTTTGTTATTGATAGAGAAATGAACTCTTCAACTTCTTTCCCTTTTTATTTCGCTAAATTTGATGGTTTTTAAATGATCATTATCGATTCATTGTTCTTAGAAAAATTGAAGAAGTGGAGGAGAAAGATAGGAAAAAGAAAGAAGAGCTAGAGGTAGTAAATTATCATGGTTTTCACTGCATGCAGTGGCGGATCCAGCCAAAAATCTGACTGCCGCCGAAATGAGATAGAGGGTTGACCACACCCTTTAGACCACACCCATTTCTTGGTCACACCCGGTTTTCTAAAATGATTATTGCTTTCTATAATTTCTTATGTAGACCATTTTCAAGAGAAAAGCTGTGCTTTACTGAAATTTCATGTATCCTTACAACAAGCTTGAGAAGAAATAAATAATCTTATTCAATATTCTGAGGATGGATATTGTAAAAAAATTACGGCATTTAGACGAGGAACACCATAGAATTAGAAAAAAAGATACATTTGGCAGAATTTTGAAGTGTCGCCTAAAACTCGCATTTAGTCGGGCAATTACTTATGAAAATTGACCTGTTGGAAATTACAAGTTTAAAAAGCTAGATAAAATTTGAAATTATCGAGAGCAACTTTTGTTTAACAAAGAATCATACTTTTGGCGAATATTGTGGGCCTGACTTTTAAACCTGATGCCTTCTTAAATTTTAGAATATTTGAGTCTTAATATTCTTTTAAAATATATTCCTACGATTAGTTGTGTATTGTACAAAATAATGGGTCACATCGGCTTTGAAGTTACAGTTTGCAGAATATTTAGGCATCCCCCCATCTTTCTGTAACGTTTGAGCCGTGTTGAGCGGCAGTACTACTCAACCCCCCATCTGAGCGGTAGTCAACTCGGTTGTTCATTGGTTGTCAACAAAATTTGTATGCATCCCCCCAGGTTGGCAGTGATTTCTGACGATTTGATTGGTTTAGGCAGGCTGACTACCGCTCAGTGCAGCTCGAATCCGCTCTACACCGACTCAACCCCCCTAGCTAGCAAGCCATGATTTCATCATCCCCCATGCTAGCCTTCTATTTGCAAACATGTGGCTCGGCAATTGGCACGCAATTTCCATAGCGATAAGGATTAAACAATATTTTTGTCTCTGTGGAAATTTCAGGCATGTTCCTATGAAGAAAGGCTTGGTTTGCAGCGCGATCAAATATTTTCAATAATTAATTATGGTTTAATTAAAGTATTAGGATAAACATGAAAATGATCCTTGTTTCTATAATTTTTTGAATAATCTGACTGACTACCGCTCGAGCGGTAATGGCGGTAGTCTGGATCCGCCACTGGCATGTGTAGGAATATTTTGAGATGCTTCAATTCTTTACTCAAAGTTTGTTTAATTTTTTACTATAAATGTCTTGATGAATCCCCGAATCGCGACGAACTTTAAGGTTCATATAAGCCTAGTTCATGGATAGGGTCTGAATAGAAATGAGTTAATTTTTTCTCGCTATGTATCTGAATGAAAGCCTGGGTCTTATTGCGTAATATAGTCATCAGAAATCATGGTTAGTCTCTTATCTCATGGCTACTTGGTGTTGCCTTGGGAGTTATAATTTCCAAATAGTTTTTGCCAATTTGATGTAAATGTTTTTTACCTTCCTCTGCATCAATGAGTTTTTAACTGAATGTTGTGTCTAAACGAGGAATTTTGGGTTTCGTCTTGGTTTGCATATATATTTGCAACACTTTTTCGATTTTTTAGGCACAATTTGAGAAACATGAGAGAACCCATTTGCGAGATATGCTAAATATTCAGAAGGATATCAACGTAGAGCTGCAGCTTCAACAGCCTGGAAAAGTGAAGAAACTGAAGGAAGAAAAGCGAAATCTGACAAGACGGTTAATGTCAGTGCAGTTGAAACTAAGCGAAAGCCAAGCAAAGTATGAGAAAATGCAAGTAAAAATGAGGGAGCGAAAAAGCATCGATGAAGGTATTAAGAGTACACTAGATTGTTGGAAACAAGACGAAAAGGACCTGGTTACTAAGGGTAATCGACTTGAAGCAAAGGTAAGAAGTCTGAAAAAGAGAATTAGTGAAACAGAAAGGAGAACAGCTTTGATTGAAGACGAACTGGCACGATGTGAAGCGAAATTTAATGAGATGGATAAGGAGGAGAATACCGCTAATTATGTTAGAGAAAAACATGAAGTTGATGGGAATTTGCAAATAGTGAAGCAAAAATCACAATCTCTCACGTTTTCTAATGCAGTTAGACCTGTCGAAAATGGCAAACATATCGAGAAAACATTTTGGTCTCATTTGAAAGACAGTATAAAATTGAAAAGAGAGGCTCGTGAACCAGTGAATGTAAACGAAGCAACAGCAGAGGTGTGTAGTGAAATAGTCCCTGAAATCTTTATTGACCACGGAGAACTTGAATCGCTAGAAGAAGAGAGAAAAAAAGATATCTTCAAACCATTGAAACAGCTACTGGATCTAGCCAAAGCGAATTTGAAGCTGGTGAATGTAAACAAGACATTGTGTACAGAAACAAAATTTCAGGTTGAGCAGAGTGGAGCACTGGGCAGTTATTTGGAACAGCTGATGGAAATGGGGACCAAGTATCGAAAAGAGGCTGCAAAAAGAGTACAGAAGATGGAGATGAAATTAAAGGAAGCAGAAAAACAGACATGTGATATAGTTGATATAAATTCAGTTACCAAAACATCAAATAATGAGGTTTTGCTCGAGGCAAATCTTGAAAGATGAAGAAAGAAAATATTAGCATTTCAACAGTTTATTTGTATATATAGGTTTCTTAGCTTCCTAATTACTTGTATTCTTTTAATTACCATCATTATAAATTGCTCGAAGAAATCATTTTAGAATTTGTTTTTCTTCAAAGCTTATGCTTTTAGTTGGTGACTTGTTTTATTAAAATCATCTTGGCCACTCCTCAAAATAAAAAAGGGAAATATTTCTGTCGTAGAATACAAACTAAAGTTACATAAGATGATCCTAATTAATGTAGTAGAATTTTTATTCTCCCATTTGTTGCTGTTTAAGTTATCACCTCATGCAATATCAATCAAAATTGGAATTTGAGAATCTACGTTTCTATGTCCTTTCAAAATATAGATGCATCCTTCTCTGTCGTTAGCTATCTCCTTCAATTGAGTCCTTGATAATTTTTTCTCTTTTAGCAACTGAGTTCTTTTTCTTATCCATTTTTACACTCAGTAAAGGTAGCATTATTCTTCTACTTGCTGATAGTAAAGCTGGTTGTTAATTAAAAACTCTAGCAGCTATTGAGTTCTGCTTCGGTACTTTGCGTAGTGGTAGTATCTTATAGTTGTCTATGTTTGACGTTCTCGCCTTTGTTCATTTGTGTCGAGAGCTGTTGAAAATATTCTGCAAGTTATTTTTTATCTTTGTTTGATTAAAGCTTTCCCTGATTAAAATGTTTTTCATTGATGTGAACTGCCTTTGAACAAGTCGAAGCTCACCAGGAATGGTTAGTTTTTGTAAAGATTAATCATGTGACACAGCAGCGTTTTATTTAATTGGTATATGATATTTGGTGTAGTAGATATAATGTTTCAGTTTGAAGCAATAGAAGCCCCCCGAACAACTGTGAACAACCCTATACAGAAGTCAAGGGGTTGATCAGTGGAATACTGAACTCATTTGAATATTGTTGCACGCATTACGCTTTAAACACGTTTGCTCGGATTGATTTTCCATAAACAATGGAAAAAATGTTATTTTGCTTTTTCTTTAGGTTTGGACCGACAATTATCGTATCACCAGCAACTGTACTTCATCAGTGGGTTAAAGAATTCCACAAGTGGTCTCCTGAGTTCAGAGTTGCAGTTCTTCATGAAACTGGTTCTTTCCTTGGTCGAAGGGTTAGCTTACTTGTTTATGGTCTTCCAGTCCCTTCAAATTAGGACCTAAAAATTGTCACTTTATGTCAAACTTAAATTTTATCAAGAAACAGCATGTTTTTAAACAGGTCTGTGCTTGCACTAAAATGAGCTCGACTCTCCTCATTCATAAAGGTCTATTTCGTGATCCATTGCTTTGTAAAGATCTAAGATACAAGATCAAACAATTGTTGTCACAGTTTTGGTGTTTGTTTTTTCTATTTTTCAAAATAATAAAACGTTATATTAGAGCTTATTTTTCTCTATTCAAGAAACCCCTTTTGTGAAGCAAGCATATATAGGACGAAAGCAATAATGCAGGTTACCCGTTCTACCTACAAATAGTTTCATTCTACGGTGTTTTCCTCGTGTTGTTTCTTTCCTTTCTCGCACGTTAGCATTGTTCAACTAGCTTGAAAGCAAATTTTGTCGTTACAGTGAAGTTAGTGAAAAATGTCATATATTTTAGATTTTTCGTGAGGTAAACATTCATCATTTTTTATCAAAGCCCGTATTCTGCTCAGATCTCTATGTAGATCATTTCAATGACGAATACATGAAAAAAGCAGTTTATTTGTCGTTTCCTTTCTCAGACGCATGCTTATTTTAACAGGAAGCTCTCATAAACCACATTGCGAAGGACAAAGGTGTGGTTGTGACGTCATACACAAACCTGCGAATTCACCAAGATGAGCTGCTTCGATATCAGTGGGAATACATAATTTTGGATGAGGGACATAAAATTAGAAATCCGGATGCGGAAATCACTCTTACCTGTAAGCAGGTAACCAAGATTTTGGATTACTAGGCGATTCCATTGCATCAATTGCTAGACCAATTCATTTCTTTGACAGGGTGGATAAATTTTTATTTGTTCTGTATTGACTAGTTGGGAGGTGCATTCTCAGCTTGTAAATAGAATATATTGTAGACTAAACGGTCACAAAAGCGTTTATATTCCGATATCATTCCGCTTTGATACTTTCACTGATTTACGCTGCAGTTTTCATCCTCAAATAAACTTTCAGTTGTGAGCAGAGAGTTATCTTGTTTGCCTATTGAAACAAATCTTAATGCAATTTTTTCTTATTATTATTCGAACTGATGTCTTGTTAGCTTGGCATCTGTTTACTTATCTAATTTTGCACTCAGACAGTGCCATACAATGCCACATATTGACAGATCTTTTCTTTTATGCTTTGAATGAGATGCGCAGCGATCTCTTCCCTTAGATAATCATTTGACTTTTTGTAATGTTCGTTGGCAATGCAAGTGTGCACTAACATTTCTTTTTACATTTTGCCAACATTAACAGCTTTTTTTTCAATCAGTTTGCAACTTCTCATCGCCTCATTCTGTCTGGATCCCCACTGCAAAATAACCTCAGAGAGCTGTGGTCCTTGTTCGATTTCATATACCCTGGCAAACTGGGGACCCTTCCGGTGTTTATGTCGGAGTTCGCAGTGCCGATAACTGCAGGTGGATATGCCAATGCAACTGATGTCCAAGTGAGTTCAGCAATTAGCCTAACTAAGCAAGTAATGCATTGTATTCAGAACTTAGATTTCTCTGCAAAAATAGGATCCGAAATCTGTATTTTCAAGCTCAACTTGCCTTTTTTATTTCTTGCTTTCATTTGGTTTTTCTATTATGCTGATTTTCTGTTTGCAAACACATCTTCTCATATTTCTTTTTGAGCTCTTTATTTCACAAGCTCATTTACTTATTTGTTTTGTCTATTTTTGATGAATAAGGCACTGTTAACAAAAACAATTTTATTTCAAATCCGAACCCTGATTTTTTCTTACTTCAGGTTCAAATAGCCTACAAATGCGCCTGTGTTTTAAGAGACACTATCAGTCCTTATTTACTGCGACGAATGAAGAAAGATGTAAACACGAGTCTTAATCTGCCAACTAAGAACGAACAGGTAGGCCTGTTTTCATTTATATTTGACAAGAAGTAACAACGTCATGATAAGATTGCAAGAAACAAAGAAGGAACAAGTATGGCATGTTTGTTCTCTTCGCTGTATTACTTAAGTTTGGCCTGCATTGGAAATCGAAGTCAAACATGCTTGAAGAAGTATCCTTGGATGGCTCTGTGTTTCTGGAAATAATAAACAGCATCGTGTTGTCTGTTACATATCGCCCATTGAGTTTTCCTGCCCCTAAAGAGATAAATGAAATAGTAAATAACGTTAAGCTGTGGTGATTCGTTTAAAAGTTCTTTGTTTATCGCATACACCCCCTTTTTTAAAAGAACCAGTAAATTTAGGTTCATTTTTTTCGAAAATTTGAGGCTGGATTGTTTTTAATTGTTCTTAAATTAATAGGGTGTAAGCAGTGCGATTGCTAGCCTTTCGCTCTAGAGAGGTGTTCAGGCCTCATTTGCCAACAAGAGAGTGAGACAACCTTAATTTGCCGACACGTTTGAATATTCACCGAAAAAGCACCGATATATGGCTAAAAATCCTCGTTTTTAAGATAAAGCGTTGTTCAAAGTTGCATTTTACAGTAGCTCAGCCTCAACTTGTTCTTTGTTTGTTCTTAACTTTTGACCAATTTTCAGATTCGTGATCTTTGGTCCTTTAAAAAAATTGTTCTTATAAAAAGAGTGTATAGACAGTGCCCTTTTTGTACTTTGGTTATCGATTTTACGTCAATGTTTTGCCTAAACAATATCAGCTGGTATGCAGAGCTATTAAAAGCCATTTTATTCCAGCTTCACAGTAGCATTGTAAACAAAAAAATTGCCCAATTTAGGTGCTGTTTTGTCGTTTGACGGAAGAGCAAAGGGATTTGTACAAACGATATATCAATTCAAGAGATGTCGTTTCAATTCTATCTGGAAAGATGAAGGTACATTTTCATAATAAAATTCACTCTTGATCGCTATGCATGAAAAATTGTTTCTGCTTTCCTGGTTATACAAAAGATGAATTGATTGAGAAATGTTTTGTGTCCTTTCCTTCTGCAAATCAAATTTTTATTGCCTCAACTTTAATGCAGAGTCGTAATTACTTGGATTATGATATGAAATCGAAGAAATTGGCAGATTAGTGTTTTCTTTTGCCATTAGAAGCAATTTTTCATGGATGCCCAGTTCCAGGGATTTTATCAGAACCTGGCAACCGGCGAGTCCTCCGCTTACTCACCAAACCATCGCCCCTACTTTTACCCCCACTTTAGTGAGAATGAAACAACTTTAGTAAACTTATAGACGCCCACTTTTAAATGTGAGCCTTCTACCCTCAAAATTAATAAAAACCATGGTAGAAGTAGATGGGATGCAATGTAATAAGGAGTGTAATCCATGAATCTCCGCAGATTTTTCTAGATTTATCAGTGATGCTTGTTTTTCTTAGGTAAACTAAGCCTGATTTGCTTTCTCATATTTGTCTTTTTTGTTGATTATCAAGCAGTGATGATTTATGATTCAGGTTTTCCCTGGACTGATTATGCTACGGAAGATATGCAATCATCCAGATTTGTCTAGTTCTGCTGGATCACTTGACTGGATGAATTCAACAAAAGAATCTGCTGAATCTGAAACAAATGTCGATGGCAAACCTGGAGGTGATTATGGATTCTGGAAACGGTCAGGGAAAATGATAGTTGTAGAATCCCTTTTGCGATTATGGAAAGAACAGAACCACAAAGTATTATTGTTTTCCCAAACAAGACAGGTAAGTCTAGATTTATTGAAACGTTTCCGTTGTCTGTAGATTGAAAATAAAGAAGATGAAAAAAATAACTGCATATAGTCAAACCTTTACGTTGTCTTTGGTACGAAAATGAATCCCGATGAATGCAATGGAAATAGAAAGAAACTGAACTCCAACATTCACAGTTGTGTCCAGCTCGTATCCCCAGAATTGAATATCAGTAAATAGGCAATTTTTTCTTCAACGACCAACAACTTAGTATGTATCATTGAAATTTACGCTTGCAAGAGTAGTAAATACACTTTTCGGCTAGTCTTGTCAAAATTTTGAGTCTTGTCAACATCAAAGTCATTTGTTCCTTGATATTCCAGATGCTGGACATTTTGGAATCGTTTGTCAAGGAATCGTCTTATTCCTACCTACGAATGGATGGCTCCACATCTGTTGGATCACGGCAACCTTTGATTGAAAAGTTCAACCAGGTACCGTATCAGTTTCATTTCGAATAAATTTTAAAGCATTGATGCAGGGAGCGTTGTTTCTATCTTGTAAAACAAATATTTTGAGGGGGAAAAAATTAAAAGACTTTTTCGTTACATTTCGTCTTCATAGAGAGCACATAACCAGATAGATTTCTAGACTTTCAGGATAATTGGACTATTTTCCGTATCTATACCTCATTTTCATGCATTTTCTCTTCGTTACAGGACAAATCAATTTTTGTATTTTTACTTACTACTCGCGTGGGTGGCCTTGGTGTCAACCTGGTCGGTTCTAATCGTGTGATTATTTTCGATCCGGACTGGAATCCGAGTACAGACACACAGGCCAGAGAGCGCTCATGGAGGATAGGACAAGAGAGGCATGTTACCATTTACAGGCTGCTAACAACCGGGACTATTGAAGAGAAAATCTACCATAGGTATGATATCAACCATTCTATTTTGTTTATACCAATTTGCATCAATGATTAAAGGAAAACCGCTCTTTTTCAGAATAAACAACTTTGCCTTACTGCTTTGTTCAGGAAACATGCAGGTATTCTCCTTTATGAGCTCAGAATCGACTTCTGTTGAGACTCTTAACTGCGAGTTTTCACTCTATTCGATGAAAATATTTGTAAGCTGAAAGTGATTTGGCTTTCGTTGAAAAGCTTTTGATAGTGTTCAAAGACATTTTGAAGTGAATTGAATACTGTAAATTGAGGAAAATATTTTTACTCTAATATTAATTTAAAACTGTGAAAACCTCAGCAATTCAACTGCCAGTTTTGAACAGTGGAGCCTAAATCAATGCTGATTTGTTGTAACATGCAGTGGCGGACACCTGGGGGGCGAGGGGGCGACCACCCCCTACCCCAATACTTTAGAGGACAATGGTATTTTATTCCAAAACAATGGGAAATGTGACGTCATCTTGTTAAAACAATAGGCTTGCCCCCCCAATAAGTGTCCGCCCCTGGTAACATGTATCAATTGAAATCCATTAAAATTGTTCCTTCGTCACTGCTTTTGATCGTCTTATGTAAGTGAGTGATATCAGCATGTTATAATTGGTCTCTGTGCAGTTACTGGTACAGCGCGACATTGTCCGGATCAGTTATGCTTTCTTCGTTTGTGCCTCGGGCAGGCTGGTGAGAGCCTTCAAAGATGAGGGAAAAGTGGCCACTCCATAACTTAAATTCTTAACTACTTCAGTTTTACCGTTAGAAGCTCTGTAAAAAATGGTCTACCTACCATTCCTATAGACTTCTTAATTACTATTTCTGTAGCAAACAATTCTTCGTCCCACTATTATCATTTAAATGTATTCTGAATGACTATTATCTATTTCTAGGCAAATATTCAAACAATTTCTCACCAATCGGGTTTTGAAAAATCCAGCGCAAAGAAGGTTTTTCAAGTCAAATGACCTCTATGAACTGTTTTGTTTGGGAGACGAAGGACCCCGGAATAACACAGAGACGAATGCAATTTTTGCAGGCACTGGGTCAGAAATAAAACTTGGGGGAAACAAGGATAAATTGCAAAAAGTAGGAAGTAAAGCAGTAAAGAAAATAAAAAAAGACATAAGGACAAATATTACGAAAAAGTCAAAACAGAGATTTGTTAAAGAAACATCGTCAACTGTTATTTCAACCGAAGATCCGGAGAATCTCGATAAAAAACAAAGAGAAAGGACTCAAACAGATAAAATACAAAAGGACACCTCGAACTGTCAAAAAGATGTTTGGTCGATAAGAGGGGATGACATTCCTGCTCAATGTGAGTAAACTTACTTTCTGAGATCAAAAATCTGGGGCTTGTTTTTTATTAAAGAAAAATTTCACATTTAGGTAACATGATTTTACTGAGCTTTTAGCTGAAGCCAAAAATTTTTAAAATATCTGATAGGGAATATTTTATTGAATTAATATTCATTCCAAAATTGAATTGTCTAATATCGAGACAAAATCGAAAAATATTTCCTCAATTGGCAAAATTCTAGCAACTCGAAAATATTTACCAAGGCAATGTGCTACCTTTGAAAATTACATTTGAACTAAGTCCATAAGCTCGCTTTAAATTTTGTAGCTTTTTGCCTTGATTCATATTTTTTGCGTTTCTTTGTGCTGTAAAATTTAGTTTTCTCTGCTAACTGCTCTTGTCCATTTCCATGCCACAAGTCATAAACTAAGTGTGCGGAGCCTTTAAGCATCGAGCGATGGCGATTTTAACAGTCCCATGGCACATTAAATCGAATCAAAATATAACTACTAAAATGATATTTGGTTAATCTTTAAGGTGAGATGATTTCAAAAGATGGTGTTGTAGGCGAAGATGCAGGTAATGCAGATTCAAAAATTGCGGATAAGTTTATTTGCACACCTCGAAACATCTCTGAGAATGGAGAAGCTAGTGAGCTTCCACAAAAAGACTCTGAGACTGAGAAAAACTTGATCTTAGCAAAGAACTCGATTCAAGCTAGTAGTTCAAAGAGATGTATAATTGAACAAGGAAAGAAGAAAAAGAAGAAACGAAAGCGCAAAAATGCAGAAGTCGAAGGGACAGAAATAGACTTTTTAGATAAAAACACGCGGCATCAGCACAAAGATGAAGAACAAGATGTTAAGAAAAAGGATGAAGATGTCTTAATGGCAATATTTGATAAAACAGGTACTTTTTCAGCCAATATCCTGTAGGACTTGCTTTTGATAATCATCTTTCAAGTTTCTTTAGATACTTAAACGCGCAATGTCCCGACGCATTTTGATGGCCATTTGAATTTCCAAGTGTTTAGACTACACAATAGACCTATTGCTACGTGTCCAATCAGCAACGTAAGGCTGTACTGTCTAGTAGGCCATCACTACGCTGCGCTCAAGCTGGACATACCAATATTAACATTTGATGACGTCGGTGCAACGTCAGCATTCCAGTTTGATGACGTCAGCGAGATTCTCTTCGTTTTCGTATTTTCTTGATAAATTGATAAATCGTGTACAATTGTACTTGATCTACCTGTTTTTTCAATTTACTCCTGAATTTGTTCGTAATGATTTTAATTCATTTAAATCAAACTCGAAGTTAGTCAAATTTATATCGCTTTGGAAATGTTGTAAACATTACAAACCTTCTTCTGGACATTTGATATTTAGCTACTTGTAGTCTTATACCTTCTCACTATACAGTATTCATCCATGATTGTTTCAAAGTTCATGGTTTGATTTCGAAAAGTATCATTTTCGAATCTTGTTTGTTCTAGGTGTACACAGTGCTTTGAAGCATGACAAAATAGAAGAATCAGGAAACCCAGATTATGTTCTCGTAGAAAACGAAGCAAAGCGTGTGGCGAAACATGCTGCCGATGCTCTTCGAAAGTCTCGCGCTTTGTGTCGAAACGCCGAAATTGGGGTCCCTACCTGGACGGGGAATAACGGATCAGCTGGGCTTACATCAAAGAAACCCCGGTTCGGAATGAAACGAAAATCTCTTGTGCAGAATACTAGTGATTCTTCAACTTCTAAAAAGACCTCTTTCGATGGCTCAGAGTTAATAGAGAAAGCAAATACTGAAGACTTGTCATCGGCAAGTTTGTTGAATAAAATGCGAGCTCGTAAGGCACTTGAAGGACGTTCAGCGGAGGCAGAATTGGACCATAATCAGTATCGTATTCAAGGTCAAGCATACGGTTCGGAAGAAGAAGAACTAATTAAAGAGATCAGGCATTTCGTTGCACTACGAGCAAAACATACAGGGCAGGCAACGACGCAAGAAATCTTGAAAGAGTTCAAAGCGAAAATTGATGGACACAAAAATGCTCTTTTTAAAGAGATGCTCAAGCACGTTTGCTATTTTAGAAAAGAAAACGGGGAGGGTACCTGGTTTCTAAAGGAAGAATACAATTAGCTTACTTTTGTAACAGCATTATTTTAATATTGCCGTTATGCTAACAGTGGATATAATCTTAGAAGACCCAAGGATGCTTAGCCACGACACAGAATCAAAGTTCCGACCCATTCAGATCCTGCTTACACCACGGCTGCTCTACTGCTCTGTTTTTCCTTTCACAAAACAACGACTTCACATCTTAGATTTAGTTGGAAATAATATATAATAGTTTTTATCTCTTAACAGCATTGTGTTTCGTCAATCTAAACAGTTATTGGTATATAATATTTTGTTTAATGTTCAGTTAAACTGTTTATTTGAAAACTAAGATGTCACCAGAGCGAAAAAATTTTTTTTTGTTTATCACTCTGAGTAGCAAGAACTCGTTTTGTGAGGCTGGGAAACAGCGGCTTATCTGGTGAACCATTTGCCTTAGTCTCTCTTAATGCATATCTAAAATCCATTTATCCTACCTTAAAGCCCCGTTTTTATCATTTTCGGAAAAATCGTGCTTTCAAGCCTTTCAAGCCTGGTTTTACTTTATCAGAGTTTGTCTTTGAAAAAAGCAAACATTTGAGTAAACTAAAGCTTTCGTCTGACACTCTTCAGAGTTTAAAACGTCAGAACATAGATCGAAAACTCTACGCTAGGAAATATATATACCCAGTTGTGGATCGAAATAGGCCAATCAGAAACGCGAGCACTGTTGAGATGACTGTTGAGGTTGACCAATCAGTGCCGCTTGCCTATTGAGAATGTTACCAATGGAGTCCTAAGATGAAAACGAACTCCTTTTGTCTACAAAATAGCGGTTTTTTCGTGCTAATGTAGATAGATTCCAAAACTGCTAGATGGAATGACGAACGGGCTTTACCAATAATACGAAACATGTCGCCATTATAGTTTGCACTCCTACCTCACAAAAGAGTCCCGTTTAGATCTGTGTTGGACCCCATTATATCGAAGTACTATGAATAATTTTCAACCATATTGCCCTATGGGTGCAAGCAAGTGACGGTTTCAAGTTGAACATTTCTCGACTGCTAATAGGAAGCACTGAAACTGGGAGGATTAATGCGAAAAGCTTCACTGAGATGTAACGACTGAGTACTGTGAATTTTGCAGATATCTTGTCTCTGCGGACTTTTTGTTCTGTTTGTATGCCAATATTTCTCAAAATGTGTTAAGTTAAGAGACAGTTGTCCCCGACCCCCTATAATTTCTTCCACTTATGTAGTGCTAGGAATTGAGATGACGACCCAAAATATGGCAGGTATAAGAAAAATATTGGAGCAATCTCAGCCTCTGTCCCTCAACCCTGTGCTCCATGTCTCCATAATTTAGTCCCAGAAATGTAGTTCAAATCTAGGCACAGAAATGTTTATTTGAGATCCACTCAATCTGCGCCACCACATTGGTCTACAATACTTTACACCTAGTTACTTCAGGCTCTGGTACCTAGGGTACTGTCCCTCATCTCTTATAACCATGTATTCTGTAACCTGCGTGCAGACTTAACAGGCTATGTATCCTGTGCTTTGACCCTAGCTGGATTTTGTCAACCGTTTTGTTCAGTTGACCATAGTATCTCTATGGCTGCTCCATGGAAACAGAGGACCCTTCGCCATTGATTATTCACAATAGGCAACGTCATATATTTGCTAATCTAAGTGAGGCTGCATTGCAAATAGTAATTATGCTTTTGTCGGGCAGTAAGTAGATGTCTGTATGTCTGTAACTAAGCATCCTAAGATAAAGGACCTTTGATGACTCTATAGCAGGTCTACGTCATTTCTATGCCCACGTCAAAATTGTCAACGATAATTTGATATGGTATTTGAATATAATAAAGAGAAATAATGGTATTCCCGGAATTTTTGCACGCCTAGTGATTTTGTCATGGGAAATTTTGGGAGCATGGGCTCTCAGAGCCTTGTTATTTGTTCTGCGTCAGCCTCGAAAAGAAATTTCCTTGCCGATGGGTTTATATCCAATTTAATTTCTTGTTGAATAAGAAATAATTACTTCAGAAGCAAAATTTACTCCTTTTTGACGATCTTCAAGTAAAGAGAGAGTTGATCTTTGAAGTACATTTTCCCTAACGTAGTGAAGCACTGAATAAATAACGTTAAAGTGAAGAAACAGTTTTGAGAATCTTGATCTCTGTATTGAATGCTAACACTAATTTTTTATAAGAAATATAAGTCGAGTACCCCCAGACATTGAGTACTGTACCCCCAGTAAGCTCCACTATTCATTACTTCTTCGACGTTTCTTATTTTGTTGTTATTGATCCGTCTCTGACTCCTTATGAGAGACTGTGATTATGTGCGACTGATTTGCGTTGCTTGGTGAGTATCTCAAGATTAAAATTTTGTGTTGTTGTCTCGTTTTTAAGGCTTTGTCCTGGTTACGGCTCCAGCAAAAGGATGCCCACATTGGTAGGGCACTGGCATGTCACAACACGAAGAGGGCATTTGAACATCGAGTCACTTGGTGCTTCCTGTGACGTATGGCAGGCGGTTCAGAGTTACCATGCCCTCAAGCCGCCACTTCCGTAAATTCGACACCAACTGATATGATAGTCAATCATTTCATTAGAAATAGTCCGCAGGGCATCTGACGAAGAGGGACGTTAAATTTTCCCTTGGCCCCCTCCACTTTTCAACCTGCGTCGGAGCCAATGGTCCGTTATAAAGGTAATTCGAAATGTAGTACTGTACTGTACTCGAAAGGTAGTACTGTACTCGAAAGTAATGCTTCAGACAACCTAATCGAAAAACCACCTTCTTTCGAAACAAGAAATATAAACCTTGAATTTTATCTGATAGGATTCAATTGTTTGGTTGCGCCTAGTGGTCTTGGAGAATGGCTATCAAAACAAGTTGGTGCATTGACCGCTGAAGCTTAGAGGCTGCGGGGCCTAAGTCCCAGGCCTACGGTGGCCCACAGGTGCCACGGCAAAACTTCCTTTCTCACGGCAAAACTTACTTTCTTACGGCAAAACTTACTTTCTCACGGCAAAACTTACTTTCTCACGGCAAAACTTTCTTTTTTCACGGCAAAACTTTATTTGTCACGGCAAAACTTTACTTCTCACGGCAAAACTTTCTTTGAATTTAATTTATTAGTTAAATTAAATTTATTTTGAAAATTTGATCTCGTGACATTGGATTCTCGTCGTCGTATTGCTTTGTTCCTTTTGCTTTTCTAACATAGGCGTAGTAGACAAGGGTCTGGGGAGATAAGGGGGCTGTAGCGGCAACTGTAGTTTCTCAACATTGAAAAGTTTCCAAAAAAGCGATAATCAGGCAGAAATCTACCATGATTCAGTCAGGCAAAATTTTTATAAACAATGGATGTTGTTTGTTGGGCAACCACTTTTTTCTCCCCTTATATTATGCCCATGCTTATTTTTTCATTTCTTTATTCATTGTTATTACTATTATTCAAAAAATTAAGTACCTAGCCATCAACCCACCCTGTGAGTAATACGATATGATATGATATTAAACACAATACCCAATTTATAGGTTTTTTACAAGCCACAATCGAGCGTGCCAAGTGCACGTACGAGATTTTTTTGCACGAATTTTATGTGCACGCCAATTTTCAACGAATTGATCTTTTTCACTGCTTTCAAAACAAAGGAATCAAAGACCTTGCATGCGGTACTGTTTCGTTGAGATAGGCATATAGGCCTAGCCTAGCCCAACCTAGATAAATTTTAGAACATTTCTGGGCTGTCTTTCTGCAAGAATTATCAAGAGAAGATGTAGGTATTCGCAAATTCTGCGAAGTTTAAAACGTCTAAAGCATTGATTAGATCTAAGTATCACGTACACAACAACACGTAAAGAAAGTTTTGCCGTGAGAATGAAAGTTTTGCCGTGAGAAAGAAAGTTTTGCCGTGAGAAAGAAAGTTTTGCCGTGAGAAAGAAAGTTTTGCCGTGAGAAAGAAAGTTTTGCCGTGAAAAAGAAAGTTTTGCCGTGAGAAAGTAAGTTTTGCCGTGGCACCTGTGGGCCACCGTACAGGCCCCATAGTATGCTTATTAATATTGATAATGTAAAATTAGAATAATACAAAGTGATAGTGTTTTTTTGCTTTTTTCAGTTTAAGCCCCTGTAGAACTTTGCCCCCTCCCATTCCGTGATATGCCCCGTAGTCCCCAATGTAATAGTGCTAGTTTGGATTTCGTTTGTTTTGCATCCTGTAACCTTAGTAATTTTATCACCGTTCGCACATTCGATTGTTTATAATTCCTTTTGTTTTCTAATTGCACCTTTAGATTCATTAACTATTTCTTTTGGGATTTTTAGTATCATTATTCAGTTTATGTAATTAATCTTGGGAGTAATATATTTTGTATTCACTATTATTATGTAAATTTACGTAGCTATGTAGCATTACAATAAGTTCTTGTTTAGTTATATTTTGGGCGTGTTACATATAGAGTTAGTTTTTGAGTTCGTTGGAGTTGAAGTTGGAAATGGAATTCGGTTAAGAGCGATTAGGTTAAGTTTAGATATTTTGTATATTTAGGTTCTCGACGCTTTATAAATGTGGCAAGATGCTTGTGAAAGATCTTGTCGACATGAAGTATGGATTTATAGAATACGTATTTGCATTTATGGAATCGCGCGTGATGATTTATTGATTGTGCATTACTATAGTATAGTTTGAACGGACAGTGCTTGTGAAAGACTGTGCCTGTTAGAGAAACATTGTGAAGTTTATAACCTTTCGCGGAAAGATCACATGATCGGAAGATGGACGTTTGAAACATTATTTATTTGTCTTTGTCTCAATTCTCATTGAAGGACTAGTTTATATCGACGGTAACGATAGGGTGGATGAATTCGTTTTGACAAATATAACCCTATTACACCAAGTTGGGGAACGCATAATACTATAATCAGTATCATCTTGCAAAAATAAGGGTGCAAAGAAGGGCTGTAGAAGAGGGGGACTCGGGGTACTCAGCCCCCCTTTAACTTTTCGAAGGGGGCTGCACCCCCTTCTCTTTTTTCGGGATAGTTCCAAAATATAATGGTTAATTTCTGCCGAGCTCAAATCTTTGATTAATTTTTTAAATTTGCATTAATGAGTGACCTCAATAGCCCTATTGTTAAATGAAAAATAAATAAATCCTGGTAAAATTTTACTACTTAAAATTCTTTATTTTTAAGATTTTCTACTCAAGTAACAGGTAGACATTGAAATATGATTTAACGCTAGAAAAAAGGGGAGAAATTGATATTGAGGAGGCATGCAAACAAAAACAATTGTAACGTTTATTTTGTATACAATATACAGAAAGCACTATGGCCCCCCTCTACATTTTTTGGCTCTACGCTACTGGTACAAAGGCCCAGAAAAGATCCTTATTTGCGTTGCTAAGCAATACGCACTGTGTCCAACGAGAAAATTTAATGAGTCAACGGCTTTTGTGAGAGCGGGCGAGAGGGCTAAGGTCTGAGGCCGAAGCTCATATTAAAATCTGTTCACTCTATAATTACCGGGTCAAAAGGTCTTGGTTGCATATCGGGAGGAACGCTGTGATGGACAGAATAAAGCCTGCGAAATAACATCTTGCATTTGTTTTGTTTATTATATTGTAATCAGTCACTCTATTGAAGATGGAAGAGGAAATAAACGATCTCCACCAGCTTTCAACGTCTGTGTTTACGGTAAGAAACAATCACTTCAGCGTGTTTTTATTGAAGTCATCATCATGCAAAGACAGGTTTTTGTTGCGCACCGTCTGATAAAGATCTTCGAATGCAAGGAAATAAACTTTCCTTGTATTGATGCTTTATCTTAAACGATCGTCATTTACCATCCTTACTTGAGCCCATTTACCCATTTACTTGACAACTCACCTTACGCATGGCTTAATCCAATTCGCAACCCGGTATTGTGCTTTCATGTAAGGCCAAGTAGAAACTGAACCACTTCCCATACATAACCTCACATTTCTCTTCGAAAAATTTTAAAATGTACATATTCGTGTTCTTTTTCTTAACGAAACCTTATCTCAGAATAAATCTGATTGTCACCTGATCATGTTACTTCCTCAGCTAGGAAGCTTTGGCAACGATTTAATGATTTTTTGATTAATCCAGATGCATTATACTTTATAGCTTTACCCGTCTAGTAATTCAATTTTTGTTTTCGCACTTTGTACTGTACTGAGAACCGCTCGCCTCGCCATAGGAACTGTTACTTTCCAGTGACTGTCACCGGAAAAAATTCGACAGGCACTTGCCTTACATCAAATCACAGGGTCTCATATCACTGTCCTTCGAGGTGACATAGATATGAATAACTCGTAACTTTTTTTCTGAAATATATCTCAAGACTCTAATGAAATATTCACGAAATCAAATTGACATTATCAATCTGCCATCGAAATTTGTGATATATTGATATCTTTTGTTCCTTGATATTTTTTGAAATGTCTGCCATGTTTAGCAACGATGACTGCTTTATTCTAGAACATCGGAGGAATAACCCCAAATATAAAAAATTTGATTACAAGTTCCAAAGCTTTTCACAGATCATATCAAGGTGAGACTCGATTGGTTGTTTATTTTTATTTGTGAGTAAGACAAGGAGACATCACACATTTTGAAAGAATGTATGGCCAGTTGCTTTTAATAAAGTTTTATATCTATAAAGATACCATGAAAATCTACATTTGGCAATCTGTTGTCACTGGTACCATTAACCCTTCAACATGTTTGTAAAAGTTAGCAAATCAAAACAAGAACTTCCTATAATTTTGGAAACAACTTTATTGACAACTCTTTTGTTGATCTTATTAAAAATTTTATCCACTGGCTGCATGAAATTGTGTAACCTGCTCTTGCCATTCATATTAAATATAAGATACTTTGTTTTTATTCCTCAAAGGGACAATTTTGTTGGGCACTCAGTTCATTCAGTCTTTAGATGCATTTGCACAATCAGCATTGTGTGCCAATGGGGCCACAAAACTCATTGGTAAGTTCTTTGGTATAACATGACCATTTCAACAAGCATCTAAACCAATTGTGAAATATTTTTATAGGCTAGGACTTTAAAACTGTATATATTCAACATAAATTGAAAGAAACTTGAATCATATTGAGTTTGCAATAAGCACAACTTTGGTATTACATTAATAAATGCTATAATTATATTTAGTTTCATTGTTATAGGAGCTATATATAGAAGTTTTTTAAAACATTGAATAAATCACCCCACTTCCTTCAAACAATGATACAACACAAGGATTTCACAAACAAAGTTTATTCAAGTTAAGTGAATTGGATTTGTGTATCAATATAATGTGATCTTTTTCACTTTTGCAAAAACAATGATTGTGTTTAATTTTTATAACTTTTTATATGCAATTGTTTTTTTCTTTAAATAGGAGAAACTCTGAAAGACATCATAAGTATATTTAATGAAATTGAAGCTATGAAAGGTGATTTGGTAAGGGTGTTTCAAAAGTCATTTTTTACCTGAAGTCGAAAACAATAGATTTCTTCTTGTTTAGCAGAAGAGACAATGTATGACATAATAAAATGTTTACAACAAACTTAGTTAGATACATAGGGCTACTGTACTCACTCAGAACTAGTCAACTGTCTCCATATGGCCTGTAAGGAGCTATTTTTGTCTATGATTTTAAGTGAAGACCTGCCACGCTGTTTTGACTGTAAAGATCCTCAATCAACGTCATCAAGCTGTTATAATATTGTTATGTGTCCAATTAAACACCCTCCTTTAAGTGTTTAAATTTTTGAGTTCAATTTGAGTACAAGTTCTACTTGTGCTTACCATGCAGTATGGTCAATAAAAAGTTATCCCTAACTTTTACTTACACAAAGCTCTAAACAAAACATAGTATATATGTTTAAAATGACCTCTAGGTTCTCATTCTTATTTAACAGATGAATCTATTTGCTAAAGATGTGATTGCTCCACTGGAGAGTCGAGCTGAGCAAGAGGTTAATATGTCAAAGGTATAGCAGCTTACAGCTTATTTTTCATTTATCAGGGATGTAGCTACTGATTTTCTTGAGGATTCTACCATTCTCCAAAAAAATTTCTGAAAAAACTTTTTTTCCAATAAACAATTCCTTGGCTCTTATTGTTCTCAGACAATGATGCTCCTAAAAATTCAACCCTTTTACATCACTTTTTAGTTATTATTTGTATGTATGTTTTTGGTACTGACATTTATGCCATTCAGGGGTACAAACGGTTTAAATCAACCCAACAAATAGAAATAATTCTACATTCTACATAATTCCAAATTATATCTGCTGCCTGGTTTTCAAAAGGCAGCCTTTGTTGTTGAGAATCCTAAATAAGGAACAAACAGTGTCATTTACTATACATTCTCTTTTGTTTTGTCTCTGAAATGTTTATAATCAATTTTACTTTAAATTCATCTTGCCCTACAACTCTATCTAAAGGAACAATTTCGTTATTGCTGCTCTAATACAGAGACTATAGCCTCCCACTTCTTAACTTGGCAATATTTAGCTTTTGATACCTGTTATCAAGCCATAAAATGTATTTGCTTTGTAGCTTGCGCATAAACAATATTTGCAAGACAATAAAATACAAACAGAGGTATGTGCAGTCTTTTCAACTTGTGGTTTCACACCTCGCTCAAACTGACAAAACACCTGTTTTTAGAAATTTCAGAAAGTTTTAGAAAATGACTTTTCCAAACGTGCGAAGTTTTGTACAATGTAGGGTCCCTGTTTGTGGGATTCCGTCTTTAAACGACTGGTAAGAGATATCAATGTTTTTCTGTGAATTTATTATCTCTAAAAAGGCTTTGTGTTTCTAGCAAATTCCTGTGTAACCTATGTGGACCTTACATATTTTCCGCTTTTTTGGAAAGTTTCAAAGCTGCGCGCGGTTTGTATGCAGTCGAATAATGACGAAGAAGTGCGGTGATCTCCACCTCTTTCTCCACCTTAAAGAAATATCAGTCTGGTTCAATCTCTAAACTGTTTAAATGTACATATTGACCTAACTCCGTTTGATCAAACCCTAAAAAAGTCCCACTCAAAAGCATCGTTGGTTAACACAGACACGTGGGCTCAAATTAAACAACACTTGTTGTCATAGAAACTTCAGGTCAGTGTTTGTGACCTAGATTTTCGAAAGTTTCAAATTATGAACTTCGCACGAAGGGTTTCTAGAATAAAGGGTTGTATCAACACTTGATTGTTTCTCGAACACTTCTTACAAACTTTGTCAGAAAATTGGCCTCTTTGACCCGCCCTATAAATTTACTGTTGAATTGGAAACTCGCTTAAGCCTAGAACTATACGGGTCCGGAAAGGGACAGTTTTGTAGTTTCTATGAAGAAGTAACGATTAGAGACTCCAAAATGTTGATATATTATTTTCCGCATGGTGATTTTCCACGGATCCTAATTTGGAGGGACCAACAATATAACGAAAATTTCCTCTTACCTCCTCCCAGACTGGAAACTTTGCTGCGCGCCCGCAATATATTGCCCGCGCACACCTCTGCGCGCTTTTGCATATTGGCCGCGCAAAATCCCCTAGATCCCTTGACAATGGGATTTAACATTATTAACAATAAAAATAACTAAGAGTGCATGATTTCAGGCGCGCAGTCTCAAATTTTCAAAATAAACTTGCCCGCGCAAGAAGCAAAGTTTCCAGTCTGGACCTCCTCTAGCCCCAATTGTGGCAAACATTTTCCTGACGCTGTGTTAATTGTCTAGCTACTTTGGTTCAATGTATTTGTTGTTATCTAAAGATTTATCTATATAAATATCTGTGCCGATCCGAATCTTTCCTGCCCCCCCCCCCACCCTTGTCGCACGGGCCTTGAAATTGCAAAAATATAGTTTTGATTTCGTGACGCTCCTCTAAGTGATGATTGCTCATTTTCATAATAAACTTTTTTAAAATAAATGACTTGAACTAACAAAGACAATGCTCTTCGCTAAAATTAATAAATTTTCGGTGAGTCATTTAGCTGTTTGCTTCCCATTTAGTTGTTGTGTTTTCATTTCAATCAAAGATTTTCCCCATTCATTTTATGTCAAAGTACCCCCATTAGTGTAAATGTTTATTTATTATTGTTCAAAGCCATTGAATTTGGTCTTGTGTACAATATCAGCACAATACGCTTGTGTTTAATTTCACAAAGGCGTATTCAAGTTTACGTACTAATGTTCTAAAAAGACGCTGAATAATATTGTGAAATTGATGTCGCAACAACACAAGACTTCTACGAGTTAAAGAGAATTATGGGATCACTCCATCATAGCATTATATTATACAGCACAGTGGCGGATCCAGCCAAAAATCTGACTACCGCCGAAATGAGATAGAGGGTTGACCACACCCTTTAGACCACACCCATTTCTTGGTCACACCCGGTTTTCTAAAATGATTATTGCTTTCTATAATTTCTTATGTAGACCATTTTCAAGAGACAAGCGGTGCTTTACTGAAATTTCATGTATCCTTACAACAAGCTTGAGAAGAAATAAATAATTTTATTCAATATTCTGAGGATGGATATTCTAAAAAAATTTACGGCATTTAGACGAGGAACACCATCGAATTAGGAAAAAAGAACAATTTGGCAGAATTTCGAAGTGTCGCCTAAAACTCGCATTTAGTCGGACAATTACTTATGAAAATCAGACCTGTTGAAAATTACTAAGTTTAAAAAGCTAGATAAAATTTGCAATTATTGAGAGCAACTTTTGTTAAACAAAGAATCATACTTTTGGCGAATATTGTGGGCCTGACTTTTAATTTAATATCCTTTTAAAATATATTCCTACGAATAGTTGTGTATTGTACAGAATAATGGGTCACATCGGCTTTGAAGTTACAGTTTGCCCACTTGCAGAATATGTAGGCATCCCCCCATCTTTCTGTAACGTTTGAGCCGCGTTGAGCGGCAGTACTACTTCAACCCCCCATCCGAGCGGTAGTCAACTCGGTTGTTCATTGGTTGTCAACAAAATTTGTATGCATCCCCCCAGGTTGGCAGTGATTTCTGATGATTTGATTGGTTTAGGCAAGCTGACTACCGCTCAGTGCAGCTGGAATCCGCTCTACATCGACTCAACCCCCCTAGCTAGCAAGCCATGATTTCATCATCCCCCCATGCTAGCCTTCTGTTTGCAAACATGTGGCACGCAATTTCCATAGCGATATGGATTAAAAAATATTTCTGTCTCTGTGGAAATTTCAGGCATGTTCCTAGGAAGAAAGGCTTGGCTTGCAGCGCGATCAAATATTTTCAATAATTAATTAAGGTTTAATTAAGGTAGTAGGATAAACATGAGAATGATCCTTGTTTCTATAATTTTTTGAATAATCTGACTACCGCTCGAGCGGTAATGGCGGTAGTCTTGATCCGCCACTGCAGCAACACGACTTATGAAATATAAGGATTTGGCAGTACAGTCTTAAAGATATTGCGATGTAATTTAATATTAAGTAGCGAATTTCCCGATCATGTAGGCTTTTGTTCACCACCAGTGATGCAAAAGGATTAATTGAGATTTCTTACGTCATGAAATTCTATTCCATGTGGCTCAGCTTCGGATTGCTTACTTCACAGAATTCTCAATTCATAGAATGCTAAATGATAAAGAGTTTTTGTACATTTACTTTTGTCTAACACTGTCAAAACGCAGTTTCCAATCAGATTTTATCCTGAATGCAGATTAAATCCGGTGGGATGTGACAGTATTTACTCTCTTATGAATCGCAAAGTAATGGTCGACGATTTTATTAGAAATTGCATCCTGTTTCCTTTGATGAATGCACGAGGGTAGAACTTGAATATTGACTGACAATTGAAGAATTAGTCTTGGTCTTTTAAAAAATAGCGTTATAAGCTCAACATGATATAATGTCTAGTTGACTCACATTATATACTCTCTTTTTATTCTCCTTGAATATTTTTTTATCATTTGTACTGACAAAAGAACAGATGGCCTACAGCTTTCCCTCAAAAACTTTGAATTCAGTGTTTTTCAGAAATTTGGTAACAGAATTCCCAGATTTTGTTTTCCCCTTATTTTTGTTGAATTTAGCAGGATGCTGCCCCCTCCCCCCCAACTCTTCTCTCGTTGAGTTAAAGATACTAGCACTATCTTAATTTATGTACTATATGATAAAATTGCTAAAATGACGTTTGATTTATGATAGGTTGTGAATAAATACACGCAAGAAATCGTTAAGCTACGAAAGAAAAGCCAGAGAAGAAAAGGAAAGGCGGGGAAATACGAGAAAAAGGAGGAAGAGGTGGATTGCTTTTTCATCGCAATTACTTTGTTTTTCTTTTAATTTCAGTCAGAAATATAGGCCCGAGTTTCCTCATATTTCAGCTGAAAGGTCCATATATTTTCATTTTCATTTGTTTATATGGAGTTTCAAACTAAATCTTTTTCAAACCAAAGTTTATATGGACTGTCTTTTATAGGAAATGAATGCTTGGTGTTATGAAACCGTCTTTTGAGGTCACAAACCCATTTGTCAGTTGCGTCGATAGCAAGGCCTTGCAGAATTTTCCCTTCTGTTTTATTCTCGATAGGCACACTGTGCTCGAGCTTAAACTGAGAATACAGCTTTAGATTTCATGCAGTGTCACTATCCACTCAAAAGAACGTATCCTGAAAAACCCCCCTTCCCATCACACCCCCACCTCACCCACTTTGCTTTTATCCCTTTCGAAATCTCCTTTTGTTAATCGGGATCTATTCGATAGAAAAACGTTATTAAGGTTGTTACTTAGTTGGGCAAGTTGTTCTTGCATTCCAAAGCTTTACTTCTTTTATTGCGTGATTAGGCTGTAAGTTTATTACGTGTTGTTTAATGACCAATTTGGTTTACCACTTATGTACAAGAATTTCACAACCTCAGGCCATGCAATGTTTATATTATACTGATAATTTTCCACTAGAATGTTTTGAAATTGTTGCATGTGGGCATGTGGGCACCACTTCGTATCTTTCTGCTTTAAATCGATTCTTAGATTGAGTCCCTGTTACAGTGTGGTTTTCGATTCTAGATGCTGGAAGGGCTTCAAAATTCAGAGAAAAAGTTGCGTGAGTTGAGGGAAAATGGCTTAAGAAGGGTAAGGATCGATTCTCGCATCAAGTCCAGAGTATTAATTTTTGCCGGGAAAAGTATTTGAAACTTCTGTTTGATGGCAATATGCCTAAAGATGGAAGTTCTGCCTTACGCTGAGAATTTCTTAATAGTGTATTAATACACAAAAGACACTGAATCAGCTATATTCACCAACATGATCGTTCCATGATAGCAGCCATCCATCAAATTGGTATATGCCTTTCGATCAAATCATCCATTTTTTGTTGACATTTACTAATTTGTTATTTTTCTGTGTCTTAGTACTGTAGAAATGTTATGATACCTTAACAAGTCAATATTTTTCAGGTTTCTTGAAATTTTAATACTTTATTGAAGACTTTAAAAGAAGAATTGATTTTCATATTTGAATGTAAGAATATCAAATGCACATGTTTTAAATTTTCTCTTATTTCTCTTTGCTCAGGCTTTGATCGGAGAGAGGAGAATTTATTGTTTTGTCGCAGAAAAGATATGCATTTTTGGAAAAGGGATGGCAGCAAATAGTAAACGGGTATAACGCTTTCCATACATACTCAAGCCATGAAACCTCTCGCTTTCTATTCATCGGGCCTCTAGCAAGGTCTTGAGTAGGTTTTACTCCTTAAACCCCGCAGCCCACTACTCGGACCTCACAATAGACTACATAAGAAAATTGTAATCAGATCAGGGGCTAGGAAGGACTGGGTACCTGGAAGCCAAAAAATAAATTTTCAAAGTTTTAGAAGAGCTCATTTCAGCTTGTTTATAAATATTCTTTCCTTTTAATTTTTGTTTTGTTTATTAGTGTTTTAAAACCAAACTTTTTTTTCATTGTAAATGAATTGCTAATAAACAATGATAACAAACGTATTACCATTAATTTCAATCATGTTTTAAGACCCGAGTCACGAAGAATTCAAACTGTAATTTTCTGGCGGTTTTCGACTCTGTCATCTTCATGTAACTACTTTCGCGTTGCAAAGTTATAAGTTAGTGCCAAAAGCTATATGAGCATCAATGTTTCCACCATCTGGTATTGAAATATACTTGTATATAAAGTCCACGCTCAACACCAATGGGGCGATATTTAGTTTATTTTTGAAATTTCCATTTGAAATAATTAATTTTCTTTCGTTTAATAGATCGAGGCCATGTTGACTGAAAAAATGGCGATATGGGACAAAGTGGTTAGCCACCCTGATGATTTGCCTTCAGAAAGTGAAAATATGATAACGGTAATTTCAAATTGTCTGTTATTATAGAATGTTGCTTAGCTGTTAATTTTATAATTATAGAATGTTGTTTAAACTGGCAACATTTTTTGGAGCGCTCAAACCACAACATATCGTTGCCTGCTGCATTGTCCACTGAAATTTTTCCAGATCCTATTTGTCTGATTGTCCATCTTGTCCCAAAATTTCTGTCTCTCCTGTTTCCATGTCAAGCCACTACTCTTGTTGTATGTTGCAACTGTTTTTGTCAAATGATTGTTTATCATGTTATTGCCATTACTTTATGCGAAGTATGAATTTTTTTTTGCTACTACAAGCGAAGTGCTTAATTGCATACTGCCTATTTCTTGATATATTTCTTAATAAATCTATTCGTTTTAACTGTTGGTCCTCCAAGTGGCCTCATTTACAATTTTTATATTTCTGTACAATTACAAGAAATGTATGTCGATTATTCTTTTTTTAAATGCAACCACCCTAAACGTGCAATCACCTTCTTAACGCCATTCATCGGACACTGACGTGGCTTAAGCCATTGGCCAATCAATAAACGCGATACCACTCAGTCTTGTTGATTGGTCAATAGTTAATAGACAGATACCTTAAGCCGCTTTATTGCCTTTCAATTGTCTTTAATGTAAAGGCAACCTGAGGTTTTTCGTTAGATGCTGTCAAATTAAGCTGCATTGTAAATGATCATATTCCTGTTTTTTAGAATCCATCATCGTACACGACTGCCACTATGAAGAGAAAAGACCAGCGCCATTATACTATAAGTCAAAGCCGCTACAATACTATTGACGTGCGAATGAATAGCAGTCGGCCATCTGTGATTGGAAGGGAGACCACAGAAGATAATTCTGCTGTTGATGGAGTCGAGAAACCGGCAAGTCAAGAGGCCAAAGATGACAGTAACAAAAAGATCAAAGAAATCAATAACCCTGGAAACGGTCATATTAGCTCCCAAAGCCAGGCGATGCCAGTTAATCAAAAACTACTCAACGGAAATGCGAGATTTTCAATGATTGCAGATCGTTTGGAAGAAAATGAGCTGGCTGTTGATGGCAAAGTGAGGTAAGCTGACATTCACTTGCAAGTTCGATTCCGTGCTTAACACGACTATTGCAATAAGGTTTATCAGATAACCCATAGTGCTAACTATACATCTGCAATACAACCTAATGAAGATCACAGTTAACCGGTCTGTTGTGTCGGTCTCAATGCCGACACAGCATCTGTTATGACAGTACGGTACATCTTTTAGTGTATACAACAGGGCAACCCAGAGCTGCCAGTCGGAGGATTATTAGAATCTTCCTGGTTATCCACCAAAGCATTTAAACTAATTAAAACACAATTCTAAAAGAAAGTATGACTACTGCCGGGTATTATTGTCGAGATTGCTTGGAGAAACAGTTAGAGATGATTTAGTCTGAGTTTAGTTTTTTGCTATTTAGGGGTACTTAATCGGTGAATGTTCAAACTTTCCCACAAATAAAAGATAGCTCACTCATTTTGTTTGCAAATGGCTCATTAGCTAGCTATTTTTTCTCATGAAAAGAATGTGAATGGTAATTTCTGCTATATTTGAGCTGGGGATTTTTGTGAAAGATCAAACTGCTCAAAAATGGGAAGGGAGAGCCCCACCAAGGCCAACGCGTCAGTTTCCTTATTATAATATTCCGTTTAAGCTGCTATACAATGACGTTAGGTTTATGATAAAACTGATTGGTCAAGTTGTATTAGATCAATGACGAAATGTATCTAATAAGCATCTGCTGACATTATTAGACTTGTTCTTTTACTTTTTGGTACTAATTATGAAAAGCTCTGTAATGGTATTAAGTATTTGTGGGTATGATTCGAGGATTACTTTGTTGATTTTCGTAAATAGACCATTCATTCTCATTGCGTTTTCTTTAACATCTATTTGTTAGATTGAACTAATGGAGATAAAATGAATGCTCAATTTACGGCTGCTGGCTTCTCAGCTAATTTAGGCCGAAAAGTTTTTCCATTTTTTGTTTCTCTTTTTCATTCAGCGTTCAACTGAAGGCCATTTATGATCACAAAGGAAAGGACAATTCACAGCTGTCATTTTGCAAGGTTAGTTTTAGATCATCATATTTGCTTGTCATTTTTCAGTTTAGACAGTTTTTCGCCTTTCGTGCATTTCAATGTTTGGATGTCATGCTGTTTCATTTTGTTTTTATTTCCACGAATCATTCACCATTAACAAACATGTATTCGTTGATCATGTAGCACCAACTCATTTATAGCACTGTAATCTGAGATTTCTATCAGCAAATCACCCTGAATCAATACTAGAATATATTGTTTTGAGACGTTCTTGTCATTCTCGTAAGCACATCCTACAATACTGGACATATAATAAGATTTCGTTCCCCCCCCCGTTGGGGGTCGAAATCTATATAGCTATAACCCTGCTTGGGGGAAGTGGATGAATCTTTTTCGTATAGTTACATTTGTTCGAGAGTCAGACACAATAGCTGTGCCTTAGATGACAGCTACAGGATCATGTTCAAACGGTATTTGCACAAAGAAATCATTTATGTAAAGACGTCAAAGATGTAAAATTGTAAAGCGACTTATACTAGGATGCAAAGGGCTCTGATCGTTGGGAAATCATACTTGAATTAAATCAGAAAATCTAGGACAGCAAAGAAAGATATCAAATTTGCAGTCAAACTTGAGCCCAGGGATTTGAGATGTGTACTTGGACTTAAAAGCTCGGGCTGTATCCTCTTGTTCTTTTCTTGCACCAGGAAGTTTACTGAAGTGTTGATTCAAACTATTGCCCTTTTTCATTATGATCATGTCATTATAAAGTCGTGGAGTTTCCCAAGTTTTTTCCATGTAACAATTTCCATGGCATTTTAGTTCATTTTGAATTGATAGGCCGGATCTATTATCTATTTCACTTCATTGTTATGTTTTTTTAACGCTGTCCTTTCAGCGATTACTGACAGTGTAGAGCGCAAGAAAACGGGTCTTTTCGTTATGTTATGTGGTATACAGCGTGTAATATATACTCTTTTACCATATAGCTCGGCCTGCAGCTCACTGGGGATTCATCTTGCGCTTCCGACAATCTTCTCTCCGTTTTTGTCAGCTTTATCTTAGTTTGTAAGACTTCTATAGCTTCAAATTTTGTATAAGCTGATTAGCAACTATTTATTTCGGTTTGATAAAGAATGAATTCTTTTGTCTGACCAATGTTTTGAAATGTTATATTTTATATTATGAACTGGCTCTTTAAAGTGAAGAACGCAACAGATAAGTATATTTACCTAATATCAACGAAATATATATGATGTTTTTTGTATGTTGTCGGTACGTTTGATGTTAATTACAAACGAACTTTTTAGGGAGACTTGCTGGATGCAATGGGAGAGTCAACGGGAGGATGGCAATATGGTGCAAATTCTAAAACTGGAAAGTACGTCACTGCATGTGGTCTTATGCTTTACATGTTTTTTATTACAAATGTCTACCCACACCGTTAGAAAATGTTTTAGATTAGAATCAGATTCCAACTGGATTTATATACACCAGTGAGATGCAACCTGCATTGGCTATACACAGTGACAATTTGGTTGCCCCCCTCCTTGATTAAGCCCTTCTCACAAATAAGCCAGGCCCCCTCGTTAGCCTCAGGTTTTGAATAAGCCTCCTCCGTAATAGATATCCCACACACGTCATGCTCTATCTACATGAAAATACAATACTTTAAACTCATAATATGTGAACTTTGCGAAATTCTGTCGTGGCTACCTGGCTAGCTTTGACTGATTCTTCTGTTACAACGAAGTAAGCGGTCGCTTGCCCTCTTACCCGTTCCTTGGATTGTCCTGATGCCTAAGCAAGGAGTTAACTCCAATTCCAGGGCCTCTTGATTCTTCAACATGGTACACCAGTGGCTAGCCGTGCAAGAATCTTCAATTTTATGTAGGAGAGCAAGTCGTAGTTCATATCAATTTGCTAAAAATGCCAATGGAGACAGGTTGTTTACATCATCTCAAGTGTACCGATAAATTTCAAGTTTCACGAAATTCGACAATAACTAAATGGTCATCTTCTTCTTCCCTTTTTTGTTATCATGTTGCAACAGTATTTAACATTTTCTTATGTTTCAGGTCAGGCTGGTTTCCTACAGCATATGCTGAGGCTATACCGAAAAAGTAAGCAAAACACATTTTTTTACACCACTAGGACCCAGACATGATCTTTCATAAATACCCTCTTGTGTAGAACAATTACCTTTTCTGATGTAAAAGATTGCTGGAGACTCATTTAAATTCATGGTAACTTCTGAAGGAATTTGCTTAAGGTGTACGCATTTAAGTGGACTGCTGAAGATGAATTTTCTCACTATGAATAAGAGGTTTCTCAAAAGCGACCTTACCGCGTTTCTTTTAGGCCTGTGCCAAGCCCGATAATTCCAGTGATTCACGGTTCCCTGAAAGATAATTCGCCTTTAACCCAAAGGGGGAAAACGCGTCGAGTGTCTACGCCAGGCACGGTCAGCTTACCGTACATTCCTGCTCCAGACTATGATTTTGGTGAATCAAAGGCACCCTTGGTAAATGGAACTAAAAACAATAGCAAAGGTTTGTGACCATTTCGATTTCTTATCGTTCCGTGTACCAAATTAGTCAGATCAGATGTTTATCTTATTAAACCTTCTATGTCTTATTCTAGGCAGTAAAGTAGAGTAAGGTATTTTCCGGTTTGAATGCACGATTGTCGATCAGATCGCTGGAAAAGTTATATTAACTATCGGTATATTAAAATCTCTAGCTTGAAAGGTCTGAAAACTCTGAGACAAGTGTGCAAGTGTAAAAGCAAGCATTTACGAAGTTTTTATCTCTCTATTTCTTCAATCTCGTTCTTCCTTCCTCAATCTCTATATCCTTCTTTCTGCAAAATTTTGTCTGCAGTTATATTTCAATAATTATTCATTTAACAATGTGTAGAAATTATCTAGTGTACTAACACCAGAATTATCTGCTGGTTCAGAGATTTAATGTTAAAGTGCCAAGAGAACGTTAAAGGAAACACAACAGTTGCATCCAATCCTTCTTCATTGTACACCTCAGTACAGATTACCTATCTCTCTATCGCCGTCTCTATCGCTTCTTACCTTACAATCGGACGATTTATATACTTTTAATCTACACGAACTAAATATGTCTACCAATCAGCATTTAAAAAAACAGGATACAAATTTTACGTCAAAGATTTTTTATGAATAACTTTAAAATGCATATACGGATTAATAAATGTCGTTAAGCTGTTTGTTTAGACCGATGAATAGCTTGAGTCAGCCCATGATTAGCCTGAGTCAGTCCAAAACGCCGTTAACCAAGTCTATTACGGATACCTACACAAACATTAATTACGCAAGCAACTCTATGAATTAACAAGAAGAAAAAGCAAATCTCTACACGAAAAGCATCTACTGCAGTGCTATATTAAATGCGCTAGCATCAATGGAAAATCCCAACACAATGCTTTTCAAATTTCATATCAACTGAAGAAATCTTTTCTTCTTTCAGCCAAGAGTATGGCACTTCACCAGTCTGCTTCAGCCCCGGGCCTGACTGATTCCCAAGAGATCACGGTCACATTTGCCGATGAAGAACCTATTGTTATACCTCCGCCAGATTTTCGAGAGAATGTAAATGAAGCGCCGAAACTGCCGCCGCCAGCAGACTTTGTCACCATGCCTTTCCCGCCACCGCCCCCGGACGTTGATCTAAGCGTTCCTCAAACCCCGTAAGTATTGCGTTCTTTTTTCATCTGATTATTGTGATATATATATATATAGGTAGAATTTTCAGCCCAGGCCTATAATTTTTCACAAAGAGCCTAGCTTGCAATACAAGGTACGCATAAACTAAATTAAACTGATATGAATTCTATGCATTATCTGTTTTTTGTCAATTCTTTCATTATGCTGACAATCTTAAAATCTTAAAATGTTTAATGCTTGTGTTTTTCAAGACACCTTAGATCAAAGCTGTAGGAGTCTGTAAATGAAACATTATATGTAACATAAAACCCTGTATTGTTTTTTCTTTGCTTTGAGATGTCATAAACTAGTCCCTAACCATACTACACAATTTACCCTACGTTCGCGACAATCATAATTCTAAACCAGGACCTAAAGAAGCCTCGCGTTTACCTCTTCCCAGGTTGGAGATGTGCCTTTGTCAGGCTTTCGCCATATTCAGAAACGTAGCCAAACCCCATTCTATCAACACTTGTAGCTACTTAAAACCTTAAAATTGGTATAATGCGAGCAACATAATGAAAATACTCATTGAATTTGACTTATTGGGGCGAATGTACTTACCCATTAGGAACTTGCCAAAACCTTGAAAGAAATGAAACACATCTACAGATATCAGGGTAGGAGACGAACCACAGTTTGGTCATGCATTCAACTGATTAGAACTACTAATTTTTAATAGACAGAAAACTGTGTTATCGAATTCTGAACTGTTGCTTTTAACCTCATTAACAGGGATCTGTTTGAGCTTTTTCCTCGTTAAAATAAGACTTCCACTATTTGCTAGCTTGTGTCGTACATAGACCGAATTTTTGCAAGTCTACGAAGTCAGCCCAAAAAAGCTTGTTATTTGGGATACCATACATATCTTAAGAGCACAGTCAACCCTAGAGTTGTTTCAACTTTTTGTAGAATAGAAGCTCTTGATCACAGCAAACAATTTTTAAGCTGTAGGTTTGTTAGAAAGTACAGTCAGAATGGTGTTTGGGCTGAATGCCACAAATATGTCAATGACAGGAAAGCTGCCACATTGAAAACCTTAAATACGTTTTTGAAAGAATCATTGCGTATATTTTCTGTTTCCTTCCTTTGCAGTGATAGCAATGCAAATGCTGATGATAACCCTTTTGCTGGAATTAAGCTAAAGAAAACGATTACCAACGACCGATCAATGCCTGCAATTCTGCCCTCAAATTAATGCAAATATATATCTAAGGTAAATGCCTGCATCTTCCCTTCACTTTTCGTTTTTGGAAATCTCTTTAGAAGGAATCAGCTTTTTCAGTTAAAATTTTTATCTGAATTTTCACAATGGATGTGTACCAAAACAGATCTTCATTATGGAGCCCTTTAACAGCTCATTTGCTATTTTTCTACAATATCTTAATGTCAATTCGTTTTTCTTTCTAGATCATCTAAAACAAATGTCTGAATGAAGATCGATGGGGATTACTGCAAGAATTTGTCAAATTGATTTAGGCAATTTATTTTTGCTGATTTGAAATAGAAATTAAATTATCAGACTGATTCATATTCTAAGTTAGCTGTCTTGTACATTAATATAAAATTGTGCTCTTGAAATAAAAAGAGAGGCTGTATATTTACTTCGCAAAGAATTAAAATGCAAAACAGCTTTTATACATTTTCATTCAGCCAAGGCGTGTATGGACAATTGACAGGGTTTGCAATTGCCTGCTTTGCTATCAATACCTCATAAAAATGATCCTAAGTTGACAATTATATTGATACCGCATGTTAAAATTCCTATCCGGAGAATTGTCTGGAAAGCATTTTTTGGATACATGGATGCTTGAATGCATAACTGTGTTAATGCATCGATAGCCCGACAAATTCAGAGAACCCTGAAATGGGTGGCTGAAATAATTAATGTGCTAGCCGATTCCGTTTGCAAACCGTTTGCAAAATGCTTTCTTCCGTTTCAAAATTATGTCTGCTAAGACCTTTAAGCGTTGTATATTTTGGTCAGGCACTAAAGCAACGAACAGCAAGAGAACTTATTGTATTTTTGTATATTAGAAATTTGTGGGGAGATTTTCAAATTGAATATTTGATTGTTGTTAATTTTATAGCATTCTCATTAATGTCGCCGTAAAACTTTGTTTATGTCCCAACATTTATAATTTTTAGTTTAAGGAAAATGTTCTTCATATCACCTAAAAGATTTTGTGAACTACAAAACATTATTTGTTTGAAAACAAAATATCTTGAAAACCGTCTGAATTATGTACAAAGATTCACAAAAATAAATCTTTTGAATAAGAAGTTATTTACCGACCAAATAAGGTAGATTTCGTGTTGCCAGCTTTAATAGTTACATTCAGCCAGAGATCTCTCAATCATCTTATAAACCGTGATCTATGACTGTGATGATTTATTGATCAAATAGCAGCTCAAAGTATCAACCATCAACAAGATTGCTCGGTACCTGCATAGTTTCCTTAACATTGATTCAACATTCAAGGTCCTTACTGGATTGATTCTTTATTACAACGCATCAGAATTCAGATTTTATAGTTTATTTTTTTGCTTATTATCGTGCAGTGAAAATTTAGGGCCTAACAGTCACGAGATTCACACTAATATTCGTTTGTCCAGAGTCATACTCAGGTCCCCTTCTTTCCTCATTTCTATCCTCCGTTTTTAGATTTGTAGCAGCTATAAGAATAGCGTTGTTCGTTAAAAATTTTCCATGCAGAAATTAGTTTTGTGGATAGTTTTCACAGAATGCATTGACTCAGTCTTGCCAAAAGGCCACGTTATGGCTAAACTTGTGTAATTTTTTGATTTTTTTATCGACGCAGACAAAACGTTAAATGTTGTAAATAGATTCATCAAGATTTGATTAATTTTGTAACTCTAGATTTTCCAACATTCCATCGAAACAAATTAGCAATGCTCTGTTTGCGTTAGTCAGTTATATGATATATTGAATTTGAAGACATTAAATCCGAAATAGTATTATAAAATTTTCGTTAATAGGTCGTTCTTAAATGCTTTTGAAAACGTTAATTTCCTTTCGAAAAGAAGTAATAAATGTCAGATATTGTGAATGTTGGAAAAAGTAGAGCACGTTAATAATTTGTTGTTGACGTAGAAGATGTTGATAGAATTTAATTAGGGGGAATTTCTACAATCATTAAATAGAGAAGTCGATTTAGTTGATTTTTTGCTTTTAGTCTTCGATTGAGTTTTTTTACTTTTTGCCTTTGTAGATGTGGTATCCAAAACAAGATATGAAAATTTTCGCGCAGTGACGTAAAGTTTTGAGCAAAAGATCTTGCAAAAGATCTTGTGTGTTATACGCTGTTAAGACACATAAAAACTTTCTAAAAAATATAAGTAATTTTATACTTTTGAAAACTAAATCTATTTCTGTTTTGTCGCCAATGCAGGTCTCACTTTATCAAGTTCCGCTTAAACCATTGTTCAAAATCCACTCTCTTTTTCAGATCTAGGAAATTTCATTTTTGATTTAAGTTACTTGAATACCAGTTTGAAAACTGTGATCATATAAACGATGATATAATCGTACATTCAATTTGCAACAACTGTTTTCGTTACAATCAAACTCCATGCTGTTCGAACTGTTTTCGTTTTCGTTACATCATGCTCCTTCCATCTTATGGACTATCAAATGATCTGTTTGATAATTTTCTGAATTTTCGCCCATCTTAAAAAACATAGCGTTAATGTTGATATAGCGTCTTCCATTGTATCAATGTCACTAACACCTTCCATTGTCTCCGTATCCACAGTAACTTAATCAACAACACTTTCGTAGCATTCCCTCGTTTTATGTGTATACGCCCCAATTTAGTTCAGTTCAGTTAGAATCAAGACACGCAATAGGCACATCGTTTCTCACTGGCTCCGTGTTCTCTCCACGTAAAATAAAACACAGCACTGGTTGGAAAAGACACGTTAGTCGATGGATGGATTTATTTAGTGACTACATTGATCGCCGTTCCGATGTACAATAAAGTCTTTTCTTTTATGTCTTTGTAGTAATTGTAAGTCCCTCTTCCCCTCTCCCTAATTTTAAACCTGCGTTAAAGCCCCCGAAGAAGGTTCAATTTTCTTTTCAGGGAACATTTGATTGACAATTTCAAGATCGTGATGGCGTTGTCCTGCAATAGAAAAGCAAAAATTGGGAACCTGGTATGGTGGCCAGCGTGATTCTCATAGTGGCAATGTTTATTCAACAACAGAGCTTGGTTTTCGCATGGAACCATCTTAGACCCATCCTTCAAAACTAATTAATCTTTTTAGTACATACAAGCTCTATTCATAATTTCATTGTTTTAATTTGTGAACATTTTAAAGGACGCAGGAGAGAGTTTTATAAAATGAAATGCGACTTTCAAATTACTGTCATTCCTTTCTTGAAACTACAGTCACGATTCTTTGTCAACTAAGAAAACGTTGATTGAAATATCACGAAGGCTGCCTTTTAATCTTTGAGCTTGCTGTCGTTGGGGACATCAATGGATCTGCAGGAGGGGTGGAATTTTCTTTTTATGCCTGCAACAAGAACATCCAAGCATGACAACGTATTGTTACAGGACAAAGCTGTTCTTATTAAAAGCATATATATTGTTACCTACCTCGAATTCTACCTTCACATATGAGACTCATGTGGAGGAAATATACCACACAGAAGGTTAGTATTTAATTAAATTCATTAATTGTTACCAATGTGTACTGTGTTTCTATTTCAGCTGTCTATCATCGTGTGGCCATTGGATGATGTTGACAGTATTCTGAATTTCTTCAAAAAAAGCTCTTCTGAAGGAATAGATTTTCATAACAAAAGAGGTTAAACTCTGTGTTGCGAAGTTGACTGAAATACTTGTCTTAAAATATATTGAGATGATAAATAATAATTAGTTATTGATTCAATCAAATTTTATCTATTCGCTGACCCATGATCTTTGGAGTTCAGGCCTCGGCTCCTGCAATTGAAATGATTCTGATTTTGAAACGTAAACAGGCCATAGCATAATGCCGTAACTGCTATTGTTTATCGGGGGTTCGTGCCCCACCATGAACAATAAAAATTCCTTTTTTCAGACGGACAATGCTTTTTGCTCCTGTTGCTCCTGTTGCTCCTTTTTACTTCTGTTTCTGTCGATAATGGTGCCTTTCAAACAACCTCTTCTTTCTACGGTGCAGCAGGAACATGAAGACAATATGGTAAAACAATTGTTCGAAACGCCGAACAATAAGGGTGAATAAAAATGGTTGCCAAATATGGCATGAAACTGCCTCGTCTCTCTTTTGCATCTCACCAAATCGAGATTTGTGTGTTGTATTGGAGGAGGGGAGGGGGGGGTGTTGTATTGGAGGAGGGGAGGGGGGGTGGCGCTGCTGTTCTATGCCAATAATAAAACTTTATGCATGAGAAATATGTAACTGTGCCGTGAAAAATGATTGCGCCGTGGCCGTTGTGGGCCACTGTATGTTCACCACACGGGTCATCAATAATGTGAAAGATTTTATGACATTAAGTTGACTCTAAATGTTTTACATATTTGAGCCCTTTTGTAATGAATAAAATTGATAGCCTATCAAAAATCCAATATAGTATGATAATATTTGAACAAACACATTTGAGATACAATCCGAAGCTGTGCTAATTTGAAAGGGTCATATGTGTGGTTTACTGCATGTTTAACGTAGGCCGCATCACCATTTTTTGATAAAACAGGTTATGTCCTGAATGTTACACAAAGTAGAACCTCTGTGAGTATTGATCGCCGTTATGTTATGTCTTCTTAAGTATTCTAGATCTCTTAAATGTATTGCAAAATCTAAAGACTAAAAAGTAGAACAATCAGCATGCATTCCAAAGAGTTTATTGGCAATTGGTTTCGGGTTACAGCCTAGATTCAATTTACCTTGAAGATTTCCCTTGAAGATTACTTTGAAAATAAGTTTTTGAATATCAGTTAGCCATTGAGGGTGTAAAAGCTTTAGGGCGTTTCATTTCATTCCATTTTCGCTTTTAAATAGTCTAGCAACAATCAACTGTTTGAAAAAGGCATTTTGCATCTGTTATTTAGATGTAACTTATACAATAATTTCAAATTTCAAATTTAATTTTACTTCTCTGTGATCGTGCATCAATAATGCGTCTTATGTAGATTTTTTTAAAGGCATCAAATTTTTGGTATTCTCTTTTTATTTTTGATAATTTGGCTGCTAAAGTATTTCATTTAGTTTTTAATCGTTTTTATTACCGTTATTAGATTCTTTATTTATTGTTTTTTCTAATGTCAGGGATCTATATTTACTTTTTCCGCAATAATTGTGGTGTGATTACCTTTTCCAATTCATAACTTGACAATTTTTTTGCAAAACAGTAGACAGTAAGAATAATAAGTTAGAATAATAGTAAGAAAAAAAGCTGCTAAAATTACGAATATTTGGCAAAGCTCGAACTTTGTCATAAGTATCTATCAATAGTTTTTGGTAGTTTTACACAAAGTTAGTGAACTTTCAATATTTATTCAAACATGAAATGATACAACAGCAAAACACTATCTGAAATTTTTAACAGGTCTAAAACATACTGCACTTAGACTTCACACTTTGAGAATTTATCTATTTACATAATTTGGTATTGTTTCAGAATAATTTTAAAATATATTAAGTCCCAAAATTGAAAAATGTTAGTAGAATGTTGGCCTAACAAGAGTTACGGCACACTTTTGAAAATTTGTACATTTTAAAACATTTTCAAGGATGAAATGATGCCTGTCATCAGTCATGAAGGATTTTGCTGTCAAGCAAAAGTTTCAAAATTAGTGCAGCTTCGCGACTGACACTCATCAAAAAATGAAACGTAAATGTTTCTCTTTTTAGCAAGTCAGCTCGTTAGAATCTAGTATTTAGACTATGCGTATAGTAAGTATAAGGATCTTTTGGCCGATTAAAAAGCTGTGAATTACTGAGGAGAGATGCAAGTAACTTCTTTCTGCTCAAGGACGTCGCGGAAATCAATTGGAACTTTTACGATTTAAGCAAAAGTTACAAAAGCACAATAAACTTTGTTTGCATGCAGAATCGTAGGGAAACCATCTTGCTTTGCTTAATGCATTTGTTTTATCTGTAGGGATGCTGACACTCTAGTTTCAAGAAATGGCCTCGGTTCACAGTGATCTCCTCGATGTTGTCGTTATTGGCGGAGGCTGGTCGGGCATTCTCATTTGCAAGTATGCGAAGGAGCACGGTCTCAAGGTTGCAGTGCTGGAGCAGCGCAAAAATATTGGTGGCGTTTGGTGTTTTTCCGAAAATCCAGCTGTAACCACGGTGATGAAAACAACAAAAACGTCTTCTTCAGCCACGACAACTGAGATGAGCGACTTCCCCATGCCAGATAAGATCGGAGAATTTCCGAAACACGATGACATTTATAAGTACTTGAACTCATACGTGGAACACTTCAAGCTGAAGGATCATTTTCGTTTCAACTGCAAGGTCAAATGCGTCAGGAAATATGATACATCCTGGAACATTGAGGTAGAAGATGGTCAGATTTACAGATCAAAGAATATTGCAGTTTGTAGCGGTAAGCACATAGGCCAAGTTGATGTTTGTGTGTGGGGAAAGGATAGGGTTGTCAAACGACTTAATTCTACTCCCATTAAAGCCCTGTCTTTCAAATTATACTGTGTGCTCTCCTTTTAGTTACACTTTGCATTATCAATCAAAATATTATCAGATAACTTAGAAAATCGTCAAAGGCCTTTGGATTGTCTTTGAATATGTTGAAATAGAGAAACAAGATTTTGAAGCGCAGGGAAACGCGGGTAAACGTAGGAAAACACAAGGAAACGTAGGAAAACGCAGAACAATGCGTTGAAACGCAAAGAAACTTTTTTTAGCTATTCACTTCATAATGGTGCGACTGCAAAATGGGGTCTTGGAAATGACTGAAAAAAGGCAATGAAAAGAAACAAACGACAAAAATTGCACAATTTAGCATCGACATTAAGCATCAGTGTATACAAAGTTAAACAGCCGAGGCTCTGTGCGTTAAAAAAGTATGATAACTATTATGCCATTCAATTTTTTGGGTTACTTTCATCTCTCAATCTGGGTCAGTTAACAAACGTTTTCTCCTCATATTAGGAATACATCAGCGTCCAGACTTCACTGCTAAGGAATCTCTGCTGAAAGATTTCACAGGAACAATAAACCATTCGGGTGAATTTAAAGATTTCCAAGAAGAGCACCGTGGCAAAAAAGTTTTGATAATTGGAGGTGGTGAAACGGCAAGTGATATTTTAGATGCCTGGTACCCACATTGCGAGCAAATCATCTGGTGCATACCTCGTGGACAGCACTTCTTCAGAAAGTACGCCAAACTTCTTCCTAATCGGAAGCCTCAAGCTCTGGATAAAGCTTCTTCAAGAGCATTGAAATTGGTCTCTCCCCACGCAAAGAGCAAACCAGGTACAATGCCTCATATTTTCTATAATGAATCTATCTAAGAAAGAATAGAACTTGCGGGATGATAATACCAACTGTTTGTAGAGCAATGCACATATTATTGGAAAATTCCACTCAACGTACCTCATACAAAAACACTTTTTCTTCTTGCACTACCTCTACCAAAAAGAGTAAGCTTTCTTGTCTAGATTTGTCTAGAAGACACGGTCTATTAGCTAACCTAATATCATTTGCATTCAAAACTGCTTTGAAATGGTAAAAACCTCTCAACATCCATTTATTTTCCTAGGTCTGGCATGGGTCTGCAAGTGGACAACGATGGGATCTCTTCTCGCATACCAGGGCCATGGCATACCAGAGTTTCGCAATAATGCCGCGTTTTTTCACTCATTCATAAACAAGCATGCCCATGTTTTGGATTTCATTGATTACCAACGAGTCATCCCCAAAGGAGCCATTGCATCTGCGAAAGGAAAAGAAATTGAATTCGTGGATGGTGATACCCTTGAAGCAGATCACATCATTCTTTGTAGTGGCTACATAACTGAATTCCCTTTCCTGCCTTCAAACTTACAATCAGTGCAGTTCAGAGAAAACTACAAGTTTGTTTTCAGTCATGAGGATCCAAGCCTAGCGTTCATTGGGTTTGTTAGGCCAATCGTTGGATCAATTCCAAGCATCGCAGAAATGCAGGCCCAGTGGGTTGCTAAAGTTTGGAGTAATAAAATCCCACTTTCAGATTCAAAGACAAGAGCGCTAGAAATAAAGGAAGACGCTAAATTTTGGTCAAACTACTTCAAGAATACGTCACAGAGGCTTCAAACACTTGTTGAAGGATATACGTACTTGGACGATATCGCCAAAATCAGCTGTGTGTACCCAGATTACTGGTCTCTGTTCAAACACAGTCCTAGGGATGGCTTTACAGCTTATTTCGCCCCGTACAACGGATGCTCATATCGGCTTAATGAACCAGACATGCAAATCCAAGCGATGGAAACTCTTAGACGTCATAGTCATAATACCATTACACCGTTAAACCTGCTACTCAACTTGTTTCTGCGAGTGATTTGGTTTGATTGGTTCCTTGACCAGGTCTCTTTAATGAAGTATTGGTGTCAAACAAACAGTCTGTTACAAAAATTAGGGAATTCTCGCTTAGGAAGGGCAATCGACTATCTATGGACTACTCCTAAAAGATATCTTTTTGATAACGTAACTGGCCATGAGTCTCAACCTGACAATATGAATTGTACTTGAGGAAAATACAAAGGTATTGAAGTTGCTGTATATTGGCACTGCCTTGCGTATTAATGAAGACTTTTTATGTTAAGTTAAGTGTATTCGATATATGTGTAAATGCTCAATATTATCGAAACAATCATATTGTAAAATTACGTCACAATAGAATGTAGAAGCTATTAAATTCACCTTGGCATACTATGAAAAAATAATCCTCTCATATATAGAGAAAATTCAGCCAAAAAAGGCTTTACAAACCTGGCCTAAAGCATGTGAGGCTTCCAAAAAATCAAATAATAAGACAAAATAACAACTTATTTTATGTTTGAAACAACTGCATAGATTCTGCCGTTAGCAATGTGTATTTGAATACTGTTGCCTGTGACGCCTTCAATGTTCCATTATAAGCAACTATGGAGCTATGGAAAGACTATAAAAACAATAAAGAGACAAGAAATTGCGATATTAAAAGTCCTGAATTAGTCTAGTATATCAGCCGAAGTATCCTTTGCCTGTACTCAATTGTTCATTGATTCTTTACATTTCCTTTAAATTTATTAATTATCAAAGTAAAGTTGTCATTTCAAGGGTGTAGTGCTAGGGGGACTCAGGGGGATAAGCCTCCTTTGTTAATGCCGAAAAATAACCAATTTCTACTTTTGCTATTGTTTTTCGGAGCGTTTTGCGCAAGAGCCCCCCTTGTTATTTTGATAGTACTACGCCCCTGGTTGTCATTACTATCCATTTCATTTGCCTGTAATTTCTATATTGTATGTCTGCATCTATTTGCGTATTGCATCCTTGTAGGCTGTCATTTGCAAATTTGTATTTAGCGTGACCAGCAAAATATAGTCACTGTTCTTTGCTTAATGTTCTGTAGATTTTGTCAACGATCATAATTGAATGAATAAGTTTGTCGAGAGTACATCTACCCTTACCTCTAATTCACTGTTGATTTCTCTGTTATTAATTTTCTACTTTGAATTTCCGAGAAAGGTAGCATATTGGCCTGTGAAATCATCCTGCTCAAGACTTTATCCTAAAGGCTATTTACGTGGTGCTTCAGAATAGCCTGACGACTCTACTAGAATCCGCAAAAGCCTTTTGTACCAGAAATAAACAAAGATACAATAATAGCAACAACTATTGCACAATGACGCTGATCTGGCATGCAAGCCAAATGAAATTATTATCATTTCTAAAAGATTGAAACTAAAAAAGGAAGAGTGTTTTTCAGAACTTCAGATAGGTTACCCAAAATGACTGAGAAACGTTGTGCGTATATTGGTAGGCAGAGTACGAGAAGTGAGTTCGTAAATATTCTAGTTCTTGCAGGCTGCAGTTTGGCTAAAGGACAGTCATAATCACATAATTGTTACGGTGATGGAGAATTGGATTCTGGATGTTGTGGATGTATATGAGCGCTCAAGGGCAAATGCAAAGAAGGTTTGAATGATGGCAATCAAGACAACACTATCTCATGTACCGGAGCCTTTAAGGAGTAAAACCAAAACAAGTAGTAATGAAAGGAGAGAAAGCGCTTCTCTCCCCACCCTGCCTTTCAATTGCATGCAATTTCTCTTTTTCTCAAAAGTGTATCGTGTTCAGGTTCTTACAGGGTAAATTGTCTTTTCTTCTCTCTGATCGTCCAAGGGCGTCACTTGTTACAATGCAAGAGCTCTCATATCACCTACAAAACTGGTTTAGCCCCAAACAATGCTGAAGCTAATATTGTAAATAGATAAGTCACTGAAACATTTGTTGCTGTTGCTGTTCTTTGGCTTTCATTGCATTTCACGCGACGGTTGTCCTGCATTACGTCAGGCGTTGTACTTTGTGCCGTGTACATGTGGAATGCGTCAGAAATTTTTCTAGCATTTTCCTGACTGACAATGAACATAAACACTTTAGTCATAAACTTACTTAGAAAAAACCCGTTATTTTTTGAAAGACCCTTTTTTGCTCCTATGCATACCTTCGTTCACAGTTGTTTTTAGAGAGACCCAGGACGTATGCTGTAAATAAAATTTGCTCTAATCCTTTGCTGTCCGAGAAGATCCATTTCTTTAAGTTAATCCTGTTTATTCTTTATAACTCACGCAAAATTTTGTTAGGTCGAAGTATTTCAGATAGATTTAACAATGTTACCGATACTCATATTAAACAGGAGTATGCTTCAAAACCAGAAGTTCTGATAAGCATTGATATGTTTAAACATACCAAAAGAATAAAAAGCTAAAATTTTGTGCTTGGATGGAAAAATTGAGGTTATTTGGGCATACGATATGGCACTAGAATTGCACTAGAATTGCAATGCCATGGAAGATTCTTTCAAAACAACATCCCAACGTGGTCGTTGATGGACAAGGGAGAGAAACTCTCAAGGCGTGTGTAGACACAGTTGTTTTGGTGACAGGTTATTTTCTATCATGGCTTTCTCCCAAAGTTTATTTCATTATCTCTAATTCTTTTAGTCAAGAATTGCTATTGAACTTGAAACAGTTCTGAAAGTAGGTTTATAATTTGAGAATTATTCTCAATGCTTTTATGATAATCAATTTCCTCCAAACGTTAGATCTTTCTGCTAGGGAAGGAATTCAAGCCCATGTTCTTTAAACATAATAAACTCATTTTCTTATTTTGCACTTCACATATCCACATGTCCTTTTTCTCGTAATGTCTGTCTTTCGCCAAGTCCTCCTCTTTAGACACACAATGTCATTTTTCTCGTAGGTTTTTGGTGACCCAAGACAAATGCATAATTATGAATGAGAATTATATTTAAATTGGCGTTCTATTGGAAAAATTTTAATAAAACCTTGATTCATTTGATAATGCAAAGGCCAAATTGATTCGATTTTGATGCTATAATGGTTTAATGGCATTACAAGCGAGGCGCAAGAGGTCAAACTCCCTCGCAGCGTAGCACGGAAGAATATTCATGCATAAATGGAATTACCTCGATTTGAACACAGACACGTTGCTCATCCAGGATAATTGCACTTATCACTGAAACCAGTTACAATTGGTAAGTTTTTGTGCATTTAGTATCTTTTATTGATCGTGATGCATATCTCTTGATAAAGAGGTAGAGGTATTTGATTAACTTATCAACATAGCTATTATTGGCTCATTTTTAATGCACCAAAGTGTTTCACTATGTACTTATCGACTCCTATGTATATGATATAAGTTGCTGTATCAATACTTATATACTTATAAATTATGTATAATTTTATATTAAGCACACTATTAGTGTTTTGGAAAACTATCATTTATCTTTGTAAAGTTAAACAATCCTTCTTAGATCAAATTCTTTGTGAAAAGTGCAGATTGTATAATTTTTCAATACCTATTTTGATTGGTGCTAGTTACATTGTGCAATGCGTGAGGTTACCATCAGTTGGATTTTATCCTTCATTCCAAAATAGTTTACATTACTTTGATGTATTTATGTCAAAACAATCTACTAATCCTTTGTCGATTGATCAAAAACAAGAAACCAATCAAACGTGTCACTATTTTTATTACTTTACTTTCAATCGGCACCTGGATATGACACGATGTGCATACTTTGCAGTGTGTCAGAGGAAAAGTACTTTAGTATGCTACGCTTCTGTCATCCCATGCTATCTTCAAATCTGATATTGATACAATATTTAATTATTCTGTAATTTGACAATTTTATCAAGCTGAAAAGCATAAGAAAGAACTTTCTGCTTTCGTGCATAAAAATTGCCCCTATTATTAAATATTTGCAATTTTCAATCTGTTGCAATACCCTCTGCTCATTCGTCACATATTTGAAATAAAGATGCCATTAAAAAAGTTATCAGTTTTTCTTTTAGTTGCGTCGCTAATGCGATTGTGCTCATCTGTAGATATCTGAATTACAAACTGGTTTTTTTTGAGCCCCTAAAAATTTATCTCAGATCTAAAAATATTAAAGACACTTAGCTGAATTGTTGATACTTGACCCTAAAGAAATTTTTTGCAATGAAAACAATTATGGCAAAGATATCCTGCTGCAACCAAATTAACGGCACGATCAACTCGAGATTGATTCTTGAAGACCTCTGAAATAATGACTTCGAGTTGATTCTTGAAAAACCTCTTCCATTTCAAAACGATTTTCTGTCAACAATATATCCAAAAAATTATTCGACTTTTCATTAAATAATATTTTAATATCTATTTAATATTTGAATAATATTAATGAAAAAGCTTGGGAACAAATTTTTAACTGATTGCCTAGTCTACGAAAGTCTATGGTGCTCTATGAGAAACAGCCAATTTTCCTTAAAAACTCTGAAAATGTATAAATCATTTTTAATTCGCCGACACAATATATTGAATGACCTTTTTTGTGCCATAAAAAAAACTAAAAACGACCTTGCAGTGACAACATTGACATGTGTTTAGCAAATGCTACACGTTGATGACGGTGGATTGGAGCTTAATAAGAACCAATAAAGATATTATTGCCCGAATATTATTGCTGTATTGAGATAGAGCTGCCCAAATGCAGTCTGACAATTGATATGCGATAGATTTTGCTTGATTAGAGGAACTGCAACCATCCCAGTACCGATGTCTCTTACGCCTTTAAACATTTAGCTAAGTTACCCGAGCCTATGAATAGTATCTAATAAAGGAACGTGATATGATACAGCAGCACCGGGCCGGGTTGACCTGGGCAGCAAAGTAGCGACCGCCAATTTCCGTGAAGGTGTGAGAAGAATTTTCCTTGATTTGAAGCATTAGAATCTTATCCAATGACAGGATCTGTTAATAGAATTAAAATTTTATTGCTTTTCGCTAGAATTTCAAATGAAGATTGCCTCAAAAGCGCCTTTTGAATGGATCTCTAGGTAATTCCCTTAAGTGGACATGGTTAAACAATTTTCACCATCACACTCTGAATTGGGCCTAAGGTTTGCAAGCGTCTTTGAAATTTAGCAACCAACTGCCCTGGGTCAGTCTCATACTGGAATGATTGAGAGTCAAATGGCTTTTATGATCAAAGATTTCATTTGCCTTGAA